GACGAGGCCGTGGAGACATGGCCAGATGCATCAAGCTGGCACCCGACGCAGCCCCGTAGATTATACAATATATATGATGTCGTTGTAGGAATACTTCTCGAACAGTCTGTCCCACCCCTCATGGGAGTCGGGCCACCAGTCCGCGCGTGCGAGACCGAATCTTTTGTAAGCCAAGCGCCGCTTGCCGTCCCGCTCCGGGCAGCGCCGCAGCACCATGAAGACGTAGGCGGTCATCCTCAGGAACTGGTAGCCCGCGAGAATCATAAAATCTCCGGGGAGGTGGCGGCTGCTGTCGCCGTCAAAGAATATAGAGAGCTTCCACTCGGTGTCGGGATCCAGGTCGGGATCTATGTCGACGTCATCGCGCGTGCAACAGGTGGTGGTAGGTCGTTTTCGTCGCTGATTTTTGTCGGTATCTTGGAAGTGCCAGTATTCAAAGTCGTACATGTCCAAAAGCTTGCCCTGCACCATCAGGGTGCCATTGGAGACCTCGCCGAACGGGTCGGGTCCGCGCGGCGTGACACGGTAGCGCAGCACGGTGATGACATACTCGTCGCCTTGATCCACTAAATAATGCTCGTGCAACCCACCGTCGACGGCAGCCCAGGACCACGAGGGGGCTCTGTATCGCTCTGGGGTTCCGGTCTTGATCACCTTTTCGTCATATTTTTCGTCGTACTTGCTCACAGGCTTGGTCGCCCAGAAGAGGTCGGGGACTAGATTCGACCTCCATAGACCAGCAAGATACTCGTCCCCGCTCACGCCGGCTATGCGGTGGAATTCCCGGGCCAGGCCCGCGATGGCGGGCAGTTTGTCCGACTCGACCGAGATTTCGCGTTTGCAAAAGTCTTCGACCAGAGTGTGCCAACATTCGTGGAGATCCTCGGCGGTGGTGCTTCTGGCCGCTTCGCCTACCGGCAGTCTTATCGTCTCGACCTCGCGTATTGACCGACCGGCGTCGGATTGCCTCATCTGTTGGCACTCCCACATGATCCGATCGCTCGAGTATACCAGAAGCCGCCGTGAGAGAACTCGCTCTTGGAGCGCCCAGCCGCGGTGGTACAGGGGCGTGCCTTTTAGGACTGGTGGGTACTCTTGGTAGCGGCCTAGGCGGACGGCGCCGTTGAACTCGGGCCGCAGGACCGAGCGCAGCACCACCTCGGTGTAGGAGAATCGATTGCACTGGCTGCTGTGGAATATCCCTTCGTGGACGGATGCTGCAGCAGCCGCCACGAGCGTGAGGTAGGCGCCTTTGTAAACATCGCCCATGCGCCCGGACTCGGCCTCCCAGTCGGCTCTCGCTTCTGGACTAGGGCCCTGTATGATGCAGAGTGCGTCGACCCACAGGTAGCGGACCTTCAGTCCACGGGTGGTGGCTGCCGCGTCCCGGACGGTGAGGGGCAGTTCGCGCTCCGAGAAACCGAGCCTTCTCTGCGCGAGGTTATCCGGCGTGGTTACGTATGTGGCCTCTTGAGCTGGCTGACCCCAGCAGTAGCTGAGGGCGATATAGGATTCGGCCTGGAAATTCATTGTTGAAGGCTCGACCAGCCTCAAAAGGTCCGGATCGCTGAGGTCAAGTAGCCTCGAAGGGAAAAAGCCGTGGGATAAGCTCGGAAGCCTGCAATTTTCATGTTCCTGGGTACAAATATCGATCCAGGCGAGGGCAATGCGGAGTTGCTCTGGAGAGCCAGGGTCACTCATGCGGGGCGCACTGGAGGCAATGTGAGGCTCCATGGACGATCCTGACGATACGTTAGCAAGCTGCAGTGCATGCAACGCAGATAGGAACATGGTATGGGCTATGGAATCAGCACCTTTCCAGGAACAGATCGGGAGCTTGGTTTCACATTTGTGATAGCTGCCCGATAAGTCTGAAATTCGTGTTTGATACTCTACCCGGAGCGCTGTGAGTTCCTTCTTCCAAAAGGCAGCCCTTAGAACAACCGACTCCTGCTGGCTTGCGGACGGGTCGGTACAAGGCTGCTTGTGCAGCCAGCGCTGACGACATTTTCCGAGCTGGCCCATGATCTCGGCGCAAAAGCCACAGCCGCACTCCCGGATAGCGACTGGCGATCCAAGGCAAAGACCCGTGTCGGAAGCCAGCTCGTCAAGGTCAAGATTGCTGTAGCGCTCGCAGGGAGCCTCGTGGCCCGGTCCGGCCACGAACGCAGCGGGAGAGTACGGCGGCGGTGGTGGCGGACCCGTGCGGGCCCGGTTGTCGGACGGTGGTGACCTTGGAGCGGGATCACTGCCGGCCGGTTTATCGGAGGGTGGTGGCCTTGGAGCGGGATCACTGCCGGCCCGGTTATCAGACGGGGGTTTGGACGGGGGTGTGGTCTCGAAGATATAAATGTCGCCGCTCCTGTAGTCGACTATATACTCCGTGGGCTGGTGCGCACTCCCAGCCGGCGGGACAGTTGTCTCCCGAAGCCTCCATGGGGGTTCAATGCCGTAGGAAGTATACTCGGCTCTGGCATGCTTGCTGCTGTCTCCCCAAACTGGGAAAGCCGTCTCCCGGCACGGGCGCCCGTCCTTGGCGGCGGCCTTGACGGCGGCCCAAAACGCGTCCGGGTCACTGCCGTCGACGTCACGTATAAAGTCGGGAAGTTCATGCTCTGGGCTGGGGACTACGCCCAGGTCTTGCAGCGCCCTGAGTTTCCCGGGGTGGAGAGGCGATTCGACTTTTGTGACTCGGTTGTAATATAGTTTGTGGCCTTGCGAGCCCACGATTTTCTCTATATACGCGGGAGGAAGGGGGATGTTTGAAAAGTCGGGGAACGCCATTGCGTGGGGTCTGATGAGCCTGGGAATGGTTGATGTCTGCCTCCCTGGACATAGCATGGCGGTTGTCAGTGAGAGAATCGGGTCAAACCCCGCCCCAGTACGACGGAGGGGTAAATCTGCATCGCCGGGATCCCCTCCCAGAGCCCGGCTGCGATTCGCCCAATGGGAATCTAGAAAAGAAAGTCAAACTGACAGTGAGTGCTACCTGAATGCCATCAGGCACTCAACCGCCAAGGCTGGATCAAGCCTCCACAACTTGCCCTGAGGAAAATATCTGGTTGGCTAGGAGAATAACCATATCAGGTATACATGTATTTACCCCTTTCGGACTTTATAGGCGATGGGGAATAATACCTATCAGGGCAGCAAATGAGATAATATCACTGCTCCGGCACGACAACTGTTTAATGAGGTCCGGTAAAGAGGACCAGTCCAAGTATCTGCGTGTCCTCATCGTGTCTTGTCACCACATCGCATATATAGGTATACATGTATTTACCCCTGGCAACGTCTGCCTTCCTTGGCCTAGCCAACTCAATCAAGCAGAGCAATCCAATGTAGCCCTAGCGACGCCCAGCGCCCAAATGCCCAGGCAGGCATGACCAAGCCACAGCCGTCACATCTCCTCCCTGTCCGGGTCGCCCTCCAGGTCGTTGAGCGGCCGGAAGTCCCCAATCTCGATCCTCGCGGGCCGCACAAACATACCATAGTTTAGGCTGCCCGCCTCGCCCCAGTACCTCTTGCCGCCGATGCTCCCGTCGTTCCTGCCCAGGGGCTCGTCGAGCTGGACGCCAACCCAGAAGCCAGGGTCGGGGATCTCTGGCACGTCGCCGACGTAACGGACGACGCCGTAGAGCAGGACTTTAGGGTCCTCAATGTGGCAGCGCCGGCCGGGCTCGATGCCGCGGTCGGCCGCTTCGCGCGCGTGGGCGGCAACCCGCGCCTTGGCCTTCCCCGGCGCCTTGGGGTCGAACCGGCCCAGTTCCTTCGCCTTCTTGAAGGCCAGGAATGTGTTCGACATCTCCTCGTACGCTTTCTGGGGGAGGTCGTACTTCTCGGGCCCCGTCGTGTCCTTCGGGCTGGACACGGCCCCGGTGTTGTCCTCCGGACTGGAGTCAGCCTCGAGGTTGTCCTTGTCCTCCACCTTTTCCTTCTCCTTCTCCTCTTCATTTTCCTTTTCCTTCACCTTTTTTGGTGGTTTCACGTATTTTTGGGTCAGTCTTGGCTAGAAAAGGGGAGGAAGAAAGGAATAAAAAGCATAAAAGGATAGTGGCTCGTCGTTTGTGATGCATTTCGCCCGCTTCTGGAAGCTATCCGTTGACTCGACCAGGAGGCCGCCAAGGGGCTGGGTAGGGCGGCGAGGTGGCGGTGAGATTGTCAAGAGCGAGTGGTTCGGTTCGTGAACAGGTCCGACTCGTGGCCACGACAAGGTGCGGTAAGGAAAACAAAGGACGAGATGAAAGCAGCAAAAGAGGATAGGGATGAAGGGATGCACCGGTGAAGTGACATCGCCCAGTGGGATGTGTGGAACGGTCAAAAGTATATTGTATATCATGGAACGGAACCAAGCAACTCACAATCAGATGCGTGTACCGTCCCGGCTCGAGTTGGAACTCAGCCAGACGAGTGGTATCCTCGTCTTCAACATTGGCCACCTTGATGGGGACGGGATGCTCGTCCCCCTCAGCGTTAAAAAATAGGTCCTGACACCATGTCCGGACACCCACCCAGTTGTATATCTTGTTTCTGAGCTCGCTGATGGTCCACGACGGGTCGATCCACCGCTTGCGACCCATGCCAGCCAAGTCTATAAGCAAGTGGCTCATACCCTGACCGTCTGCCATCTTCCTTCTTCTGTTATTCGCTTCTCACTTTGCTCTAGCAGCTCCGGGGGTTAGTGAGTGGATTTGTTGCCAGAGACCCCGTAATAGGAGACATCTGCTGGAAAAGCAAGCATTGGTACGACAAAAGACGGTGACAGGAAGCGAGCATGGTCTAGTTCATAAATCGACAGTGTTAAGGGAGACACGCAGCAGCCTCGTTCATCCCAAGTCGGGATGATAGGCTGTCAGCGGTCCAAGTGCAGGCCCTATGTGCGCATATCAAGATCAAGGCGTGGTCGTGGCTGGCAGCCGGCGACTAAAGCACGCTGGCTGATATCAAAAGCTGACGGCGTCTGCTGCGAAGAACCCCGCACGAAAAGAGAAAAAAGCAAAGAAGACACAGAAAAGGACCGAACCTACGTGTTGTGTTGCTCTGGATGCTCTGTCTGCGGCCAGGAGGTCGATTCGGCGCGGCAAGGTGGACAGCTCGGTTGAGATGTGGTGGCCGTACGTGTTGGCACCAGCTCGTGCCCCTCAATCGAGCCCAACCAAACATGGCGTCACCAAGAGTCCATCATGTCCGAAAAAAAAAATTCCGCCAAGCACGAGCCACAACCAGGGCAACAGCCCCCCCAGCCACAGTTTCCTGACCTGTCACATCCCCTCGCCGAGGGGATAGCTCAGCCAAGGTGGGCGAAGACCTTGGACAAGGTGGGGAAAAGTGGACCCCCAAACCTCAGCCAAGGTAGCAAAGGGGGTAAAAATGCGGATGTGTTGCATATGCATTGTATATACATTTTTAAATAAACGGTAAGTAAAGTTTAACGTAAATAATTTATTATTATATTGTAAATAAAGTATAAAAAGACTTGCGTATAAATATTAAATAATATATTTATATTGTAAAATAAAGTAATAAAAAAATACATACGCTTAACACACGGCTCGCGTATATAATACATATATAATAATTTAAAAAATTAATAATTGCATATGCGTTGCATACGCAATTCAAAAACACTTTAACCAAGATGGGAGAAAAAATGAGCCGTCTAACCAAATTGGGGAATTTTTTAAGCTCCCACCTTGTTTGAGGTCTTCGCCCACCTCGGCTGAGCTGACTACTCCCCTCGCCTGGCAAGGGACCGGCGTCAACCCGTTTTTACAAGTCAAAAACTCCACTCATCATCTTGTCCACCCAGGCCCCACCCCGGCGAGAAGGAAAAAAGGGAAAGCTGCACAACAACCACACACGGACTGCACCTGGCGCTGCACCCCAGGCTTTTCCGGCCGGCCCATCCGTCAAAAGAAATCACCGAGAGGTCGGGCGCTGCCCACACCAGAGAAACGTCAATCTCGGTACGAGGGGTGTGTGTGTTTGGGTGGGTTTTGGGAACAACAGGCTGCCCGCTTGCTGGCTATTGGGTCGGCGAACAGATGCGACGAGGCAAATTTGTTGGTAATATTCCAAGGTAGTCAAGTTATGACGAAGAATGACCCGAACGAGAAAGAAAGAAAAAATAAATGCATGATGGGGTCACGGAAAAATGAATAAGAAATAAGTCAACCAAGGGAGGGGGCGTGTGAAAAGAAAGAAAGAAAACAGAAACAAATGGGGGCTTTTGTGAATGTCAAATGTCAAATGCGACATTGAGATGGCAGGCGTGAGCGGCGGCGGGCGGGCTGTGTACGACGACGGGGCTGATGCGGCAGCGCGCCACAAGGCTTGGTCCGGCCGGCTAAGGGAGACAACGGGAATACCGCAGATGGATGCGGGCTGGCGGCGACCAGGCGCAAGATGCGATTTGATCTTTGTCGGGATGGGGTCAGGACTTGAAATGGTGGCTTGGTCGGCCTGATCCCGTCTATATTCGCGGTTGCGCTATTGAGGTTAGTTAGGGTGAGGCTAGGTTTGTGCCCGGTGTGGGAAAGTATAGCAAACGAGGCGATATAGGGAGATCCAGAGCAGATCCCCTCCCCGGGACGGAAAGAAGAAAACAAAGAAGAGAAGGCGAAAAAAAAAAAAGCAAACGGCGCCGGCGACACACAAAAGTCGGCCGGGAAAGCTGCCCACCTGAGCTCCATCTCGCCTTGTTTCGTCTCGCGGCCCCCTCTCTCCTATTCCATGCACTCAAAATTGTGGATTTTATTCTTGTATCCTTATTGTTACTTTTCCTACGCCCCCCGGCCCATTCCGACTCGCTCACCGCAGGCGCAAAGAAGAAAAAGAAAAAGAAAAACCGCGCACTCAGTCGGGAATATCGTCATTCTGATAAGGGGAGGGTCTTGGAGGAGCAGGAGCAGGGGGTGAGGGCGTGAAGGGGTGTGAGGCGCATGGACCCTCTTGAAAAAAAAGAGGAGATATGGGGAATGATGTGCCGGTGTAAACGAATCAGCAACAGGGCATTTGCAATGTCTGGCGTCCTTTTGTCTTTTGGCATCCATTTTCCGTTGGGTATGACATGGTTTGGTTGTTTGCAATTATTTATTTGTCTTTTGTATTGTTCGGCTCGGATGTTATGCGTTTGCAAAGAAGCAAAGATGTTGCCCAGCTTGGGAATAATGAAATGCGTGATATGGACAGGCAGGACACACGCCTGCGCTCTCGTTTGTCCTTGTCGCCGTCGGAAGGCCGTCTCGGTGTTCGCCTCCGGCCCCCTCCTATATTTTCTTCTTTTCTAACAGCCCCATGCCGTTGCCCGGTATAGAAGACATTATCGGGCGGTATATACTCGGTGGTGATGAGCCACTCGCATACGCTGTATGCGGCCGTGGGTGGGTGGCCCAAGCCACCAGATATGCTGCCTTCCTTATTGGATCATCGATGCGGCAAGCGGAATTGGCTGATCGGGGGGGAACCAGGCACCAGTACAAATCACGCACAGGAGGGCGTGTTCCGCTGGCTGGGTGGCCGCCCGGCTGGCCGACGGATAAGGGGCAAGGGTACAAGGGGGCAAGGTGCAGCATCAGCATTAGCATCAGTGGTACCAATAGCAAGTGGTAGTAGTGGCAGCAGCAGCAGCAGCAGCAGCAGCATCAGCATCAGGGTCTGCTTTGTGTCACGGAAAACACATCGTAGTGGCGCACAGGCAGCCAGCCGTCGATTTCGCGCCGCCCTTTTGTGCCAGGTATAGTGGCCATGGCGTGCGTGCCTTGTCCTCCCTCTCCTCTCTCTCTCTTCTCCTACCCTTTCCTGGCGGCGGCCTGCATCGCCAATAGGCAAGCTGCCGCTGGCGAGTGACGCCTTTCGTCCCTCTTCGGATCGTCTCCCCGAGTTCCAGCGGGTACCCGATCCTTGGGACAGCGGCGTTATTGGGCACACGGCTCACCTCTGGGCAGGCTAGCTGCAGGTTCAGGTGCATGTGCAGATAGCAGCAGGGCGTACAGGTACAGATACAAGTACAGATACAGCTTCGGCTTCAGCTTTCCTTCTTCTCGTTTGTTTCCATGCAAGCCGCCTCTCCTTCCTTCCTTCCCACCGCCTCCTCCCACCCCCTTTTCCCCACTTTCCATTGCTTTGACGGGAATGCAGCCTCCCGTCTTGGTCGTCGTGTCCGCCCTCGTTTGTTCGTCGGGCAGTCCAGCCGTCAAGAACAAACGGGGATAGAGGAGAAGGGAAAAGAAAAGAAGGGAAACAGACACCAATAAAAAAAAAAAGAAGGAGCCAGGGTCGGTTGTGCATGCACGCACCCGCCTCGGCGGCTTCCATTGCCCCTTCCATTTCGTCTTCGCTGGGGGAACACGAGCAACGGGCTGGCGCCGCCGCTGTTGTGCCACAATAAACGGAAGTGGCGGCCAACACAGAGTTGTGCTTTCCTTGTTTGCTGCCTGGCTGCCTGTCTAGGTGGCTGTCTGGGTCGGCAGGCGCTGGGCAACGCCCTTTCCCCCTTTTCCCTGCCGCCACCGCCAATCACCGCAACTTGGTCACTTTGCACTGTTCCTTCCTTTTCTTTTCCACCCCAGCCTGCCAGCCACCCTTTTCAGTTCACGTCCCTCAGGGAATGGCACACGGTAGAAACACCTCAGTCAATGTCTAATAAACTCGCCAGGGGTCAGCTGGACCACTTGGGGTCTAGAACCCCTCGCTTTGTCTTTTTTCCTTTCTCCAACACGTTCGTAACGGTGCCCATTGGTGACGAGAAGATATGGATACGTCGATGGTCCCAAAAATAACCCCGTGCTTCCCGTCTTGAAATTTGCAAGACAGTCGTCTCGTCATGTACTGTGTAGCACACGATTCAAGCAACCTGCCCGCTTCCACTACCCGTCGGTCTCCCAACCGACGCAAGCTTTTTTAGGGGAGGGCCTACCGAGAGCCCAAAATGGAGTCTTCTTGTCTGAGCCCGTCTCCAGAGCAGAGAGACAAGGTGGCGATGCCGGTGGTCACGGTAGCACCCCACTCCCCATTCCTCATCTTCCACCGGTCTCGATCAGGAGGCCGGGGCCACCATCATGATAAAAAGAAAAAAGATGGAACGGACAGGGCCCCCGGTAGAGGCAGAAAGCCAAGCTGCAAAAGGATGACAGCGTTTCAACGGCGGTGGGACGAATGGAGAAAAAGGACGGACGATGACAGGCGGAATCTCGTCGGGAGTTGTGTGGAGGTAAGGGGAGGAGAGAGAGAGAGAGGGTCCTGTCACCCTCCTCTTCGTCTCTGTGACAGGCCGGTGAGTTAGAAGGTGCAGGAGGAAGAGGGGCGACCGGGCGTCGTTCCTTGCGCTATTGGGAGGGTTCCTTGGACTGCAGGCAGGTGGTCCCGACGTCTCAAGCGAGGGATGGATGCGTTCGAGCTTGCGTTCGAGCGTGCGTTCCGAGTTCGAGTTCGAGCCGGCCTAGCGAGCGAACGAACGACACACCCACCCACCCACCTACACACACGCACACACACGCGGCACTGACAGCTCGGCCCCCTCCCTCTCGGCACTGCCATGTTCGTGCTGTCATGTTCGCGGGTGGAGGTCGCTTGATTTCGAGCTGTGGGCAAGACCGGACAGGGCAGGCCTCCCTCCCTCGCTCCATCCCTCGCTCCCCCAAACGAATAAGAGACAAGGCCCCAAACCAATATTGGACAGGCAATGCTCTGGACGTGGCCGTATCGGGCAAGCCTGGTGGTCTCATGACGGCCCAAGAAAAAAAAAAACACAGTCGCCGCCGCCCCTGCTGCAGCAACGGACGACGACCCCGTCGCCGTGTTTCTATTTTTGCTATTCTGGTGATGTTACCCTCCGTTCGACCTCCCTATCTTGCGGCGGCTTCGCGGCCCAATCTCGCCAACGCGTCTCGTCACCGGACGCCCCAGAGGAGGGGGAGCGGGACGGTGGATGGAGGGGACGGGAGGGGAACCAGTTGATTTCCTCCGAGCCGTTTTTATCCTCCTCGAAACCGGTGAAGGCGGGCGTTGCGGTGGCGGAAGCCACTAATCATTGGAGCTAAGCCGGCATTGGCCAATACGATCGACTGCAAATCGACGCCAATCAGGGAGCCAGGCGGGCGTCTTACCCTGGTGCAGGCATCCCATCTCCTCTCTTATTGCCAATGCACGCTAGGTACTCTACAGTCCTTCCCATTGTCCCAGTTAGGACAGTCATGGGCCTCCCACAGACTCCATCTCACACAAACACATCTCACACAAGGGGTAGTGTTTCCACTCGAGAATAGCATATATCGAGATTGCTTGCCGGCTCCCACTTTCCGGCTTGGATGGGGGAGGCGCCACTTTGGCCGCGCCGCCCGCGTTCCGTTTTGTCCGTCCGTCTGCCCGTCCATCCCGTCCCTGCAATGCGGAGCGGCGGCGGCGGCGGGCCTGAACCGTAACCAGAGATGAAGAGAAAACCCAGGCGGACGAGTTGGCTGGTTCGCTCCTGCCTTGGCAATCTTGACTGACCACCCCCCTGGACGAGGCGGTGGTTCGGGCCCGACAAGTGTGAGTGTGGTTCAAGCAGCCCCCAACCTATGGTCAACAAGACACAATCAGAAAAAAAAGGGCCAAAAAAACGGACATGATAAACCATGCAACCCAACGTTGTACGCCACTGTCGTCAGTCTTGCCAGCCGGTCCGCTTTCCCCCAGCTCTCGGCCAGGAAGCGCGAGGGTGATCACCATGCATTGACGTGACCCTGACTCCCCATCTCGGACCTGTCAGTCCAGCGCCAGGGGTGTGAGGAAAAGGTGCCAGGGGGCCGAGTATCCCCTCCACTCTTTCGACCGCCCTGCCGGGCCTCCACATTTTTCTTTGTTCCTTCGGACTGTTTTTTTATTTCTCGTTTTCAACGGCAGAAAAAAAAACAGTGACAGGGGTGGGAGAGGGACTGGGTGGGTGCCTCGAAGTTGGAGAGAGGGGACAAAAAAAGCAAAGAAAACAAAGAAAGAAAACAGCTGCTAGCTTAACACCAAAAGACGGCACGGTAATAATGTTGAAGCTATCGGGGAATGTGACGAGTCAACATAAAACTAACAGAATCTATCAAAAGTAAAAATGTGAGAAAAAGAATAGAAAAAAACAGCCCCGTTGGCGGAGATTGGCCGCCCTGCTCTGCCCTCAACCAGCCCCGGAAACGAGGCGTCAAGTTCCTCGCGTCCGTCCTTCTCCCTCCGGCTCGTCGTCCGTCCTCCAGTTCGGCCCAAGGCTCGCGCGGTTTCTGTATTCGGCAATCCGCCCGCCCACTCACACACACTCACACACACACACACCCTCCAACCCACCACCCCTGGCTTGCCCATCTCTCTCGTTTATCCAAACTACCAAACTGTTAGCCCCGAAGCGAGAAGAGAATACAACCGTAAGCAAGGACTGTGCTGTGTGTGGTGTGGTCGGTGGCTTCGGCAGGCAAAGACAAGGAGGAGAAGGCCGCAGGACGGGGCAGCAGCCAGTGAGGGCGACGGACGCGGTTCTTTTGGTTCGGGGGAACAAACGTGCATCATCCGCGGGTGCTCGCCCCTCATCTGTCCATCCGTCCATCCATCCATCCATCCAACCCACTCGGAGACATTGAAGGCTCGCGTGTCTATCTCTCTGCATATGTGTGTGTGTGTGTGTGTGTGTGTGTGTGTGTGTGTTTGACCTTGTCCTATCAGACTACCTCCTCCTCCCCTCCCCTCCCCTCCCCTCCCCTTCTCGCTCCCCCGCCATCGGGTAATTTGCGAGCGACTGGGCGTTTGCTTTTCTGCTCCTTTGCCCGGCCCCTCCTCATCCTCCCTCTCTCAATGCACGCGGAGAGAGATGACCTGTCAAGCGAATTTTAAAGTCTTCCCCCCTCCTCCTCCCCCGGCACCAGACGAAACAATGTATGTGCGGCGCGGTGCGTGCGTGCGTGCGTGCGTGCGTACGCGTGTGTGTGCATCCACCCACCCGCCGGGCGCCGTTGGCTAGACTCCAGACCAGACGTGTGTAGGTTACCCTACCCTACCTACCCAAGTCAGGCAGGTGACTGTACCCTGTTTGCCTGCCCCGTCTCGGGGGCCTCACCGCCGTTGGGGGCCGTCGTCTGTTCGTCCGACACCTATATGCCGCGAAAGAAGGGATGAAGGGGGAGGGTTGGCAAGTCACTGCAGAGTAACAGCGGATATACACGCATACGGCGACAGCAAGAGAAAAAAAGAAGAAAAAAAAAGGACCATTCTATTGCCAAAACAAGCACATTTCTTGTTGCCTTCTCAAGAGGAGGGGCCGTGGGCGTGTGATGGCATGCAAGAGAATGCTGTGAGGGTTGCGTTGGACCATCGGGTATCAGACATGATGCATGACGTCGCTATCCATGTCTCTCCTCTCCCTCCCTTTCCTTTCATAACAGGCTGCAATTATAGGCGGCGCGAGCACAAGGCGCACGGCATACAGACACACGCGTGCGCGCGCCTGTGGGTGCAACCTTGCTGGCTCACAGGGCCGTTGCGACGCGCCCGCCGTCGGTTTGATGGTACATACTGTGCGCGAAGCCCGCGATGCGACTTGCGATGGGTGGCATGCACAAGCCGAGGCCGGCCGAGGTGGTAGTGACCCATATCATATATCCCATTGACCTATGTATAGGGGTCGGACAGTGGACAAGGCAAGGCACGCACGCCCGCCCCGGGCACAGGCCAGGGGGGGCCCGGAGGAGGGGGGGGAGGAAGGGGAGCGGGATCGCTCTCAAGGGGGAAGGACAGCCCAGCCTAATTTCCATCACAGCCGGCCCTTGTTTGGGCCAGCCTCTTCTCCTCTACCCACATCCCACCTTGCACCTCATCCCCCCTCGCAGACGCCACCCCCGGACAGCCTATCTGTCTTTTCCGCTGCTAGCCTACCTCCTGACCAGATGCCTGGGTCGGATGATATAGCCCGGGATCATGGACTTTTAGGTCCCCATCTCCCCCTAGCGTCAAATAGCAGTAGTAGTAGCAAGTAGTAGTAGTAGCAGTAGTAGTAGCAGTAGTGGCAGCAGCACGCAATAAGGGCAGTAAGCGACATGTAGACAGCCAGATGAGGCCAGCCAAGTGAGCGGGCCGGGGGTCTTGGAGGCAAAAGCTCTTTCCCACTCGCACCCCCCTTTGAGCATGGTTCGGCCGGGAAAAGCGTGCAACCCATCCATGTCCTGCCCACCACCATCCACATCCATGTCGCGGCTTAGCAACAAGGGGAGGGAAGAAATAGAAAAAAATGGTACGTCGACGCCGACGCCAAGTGGCTAGTGGCCAGTGTTTGTTGCCCGCCCCAATCGTGGGGGTTTGCGGCCCAACGGGTGGGCCACAAAATACCAGACCGACAGGGCAGACACAGGCACGCCTTTCGGGAAGAACGTGAGAAAGTCTCCATTGTACGTGCGCTGACTTGGGCTGATTACACATCCCCGTCGAGACGAAACCGGCGCGCGCTGTCCCCCAAGGACCAACAAGGGCGTCCCATAGGCCGCACCGAGGATAAAAAAGCAAGATGCGGATAAACGAAAGGAGATTTCCTCTCTCTTCTTTTTGTTTGGCAAGGGTGATCAACCGCAGGGCCGCTGCCCAGGGGCTTTATCCGCCCACACGCACCACCAGCTTCGGCCAGCTTCGGCAAGCAAGGGGGTGGCAGGTGGGTGGCGGGGTTCGACCTGCTCGATCCCTCGAACACTCCCCTGGCTTGGGACAAACAAAAGGCAGGGCGGGCGATGCAGAGAGACCGGACGGGACACCGACATGGGTGGGGCCGAGGAGAATGACCCCAAAAGAGAAGAAGCAAAGAAGAGCCGACGCTGGAAACTCAAAGGGGGTCTGGGCTTGTGCGTATGAAGGTGGTGAGCAAACGGAGGAGGTGGGCGGTGATGAGGCGGGGACACATGCAATTTGCCCGGGTAGCGGCAGGCCCTGAAGAGCAGCAGTGTAAGCGACATGCTGGCGGCCGAACTGGATGGAAGCTGCCCACTGGAGTTGCTACCCTCTAGCTCGGCAGCCGGCCCAGGGCGCCCGGAGCGGCATGTCGGTATCTCTGGGTTGCTGGCGACACAGGCACGCGTCGCCCCGAGGCGAGCCATCCGGGCGAGCGAGCGAGGCGTCCCACCCACCCGTGGTGGCGATGGCGACTAGGTACCTTGCCTAGGTACCTTGCCTAGGTACCTCGCCTTCCCTGCCCACTCAAGTCGCTGTGCTTGCTTTTCTTTCTGCTAAGCGTTTCCCTGCGTCCTCGCCCACCTCGCTTGGAGATAGCGGCTTCACTGCCACACTTCCATCCTGGGTCCTGGAGTCTTATTTGTGAAGGGATATTACTGTGTATATGGGCGAACGGGGTCTTGAAAGTGGTGCGGTTCGTTCGTTTAGGTCAAAAAGAAGAAAAAAAGTCTCGTCTCTCGATCCATGCGATGCGCGATGTGACGCTCAGTTTGGTGGGCGGGCCACAACCAGAGGGGAAGAAAGAAAAGAGGAGAAAAGAAAAAAAGAAAAAAGTGGGTCCGGGGGTGAGCAGCCTGCAGAATTGCACGCAGCCCAGTTCTGGGATGAACCCTGTTTTGGCAACGACACCCTCTCAAACGCCGGGCTCCACTGGGATGGATGGGTTGGCTGCATGACTCCACGCCGAGGGCGTCTCGATAGACGGAGTAATTAATTCGAGTGACAGCGGCAGTGGTGTGCTCCATGGGGCAGCTGGCACTTGGCCAAGGGGAAAAGGGGAATTAAAGACCACCACCCCTGGGCAGATCAGGCACTTACCGATCATGGGGAGGCAAATTCGGTCTTTTACTGCCAGTGCTTTTTTCTGTTGTCGCATCCGTCGCTTTCAGCCGAGACAGACGGCCACGTACCTAGCAAAGCGAGGTGGGTGATGAAGGGTGCGGTTCCGACTCAGGGAGAACAAGAGAGTGAAGCAAACAATAGCTGCAGAAAAAAAAGCAACAAAAAGAAACATGGCCAAGCCACTTTGGGTAAAACTAGATCTGGCATCCTCGTCTCTTGTTTTTCCCCTCGCCTCGAGATCTCCGAGCGAACAAGCAAAAGGCCACTGCCGTCTAAAACAGATTTGCGAGCACTGCGCGGTTTGATTGCCCTTGGGAAGCCGGAAACAACAACAGGGCCAGATTTCGTGAGGCGTCGATCATGGTTCATGTCATGGTTCATGACGGTGGGGATCCCAAGGCAAACTCGCCAAAGAAAAACGTCGACATCAGTGTCACACGTCCCCCTGTGCAGTGTGTTCCCTCTGACATGGACTGTGTTTGCTCGCCTCGCTCGTTTGTGTATTTGCCTCGTTTAGGTCGTTTTCTCCACGCAAACTGACGGTGAGCGAGCCGAGATGTAGGGAGTGAAGGAAGGCAGACAAAAAAAGCAACCCCCCTAGAAAGCAACGCAAACGAGGCTTCAGGGGCTGGCAGGTTGGCAGGCTGGCGACACAAAAGTCCGCAGGTTGCATCATATAGAGGTCGCAATATAGGCCGGTTCGGCGGCAGAAGCTGGTCGCCGAGGCCTTGTCGACGCATATAGCAGTATCATTGAGACAATATGTCGACAGGGGTCTCGTTTTTCGGCAGGACGAGTGGGCGGTGGCGGCGGGGTGTGGAGCAGCAGCCAACCACTCGCGCAGCCGCTGTCAAATTGCCAATTGCAGCGCGGCCCGAGGAATCTCAAATCACTGAATGTTAGGTGGTCTGGACGGGGAGGAGGTCGGTGGGTGGTGGGCGAATTTGGAGTGGGGGAGGATGGCGCGAGTTGAGTTGGATTGATGGTAGTGAGTTGGATGGCGATGGAGGGTGACAGCAGCACAGGGCGGAACCACTGGTCGAGGCCCCTTCCCCCGTCATGATTTGCCCGCCCGCGCCACATGGTTGTCCGTGCCGGCCAGCGCGCGTCAGCCCGGGAATTTTCTCAACCAGCCCCTTGGGATCTTCGGACCGGCCCTTTCACGTTTCTGTTTTACTTTCTTTTCCTTCTTTTCTTTCTTGGTGATATCATCACTTGCGACAATCTATCGACTCCGAAACGAATTCGATCGCCTTGTTGATCCGACTGCCTGAACTGATTGGCCGGGGCTGGAACTCCCGTCCTCGCCCTGGGCTTGATGTTGCTTGCTGCTGCGGCTGCATGGGCCAGGCGCCCAGGGCCAGGGCAGCTGAGGACGGACCCTGCGGCATTGACGACCACATCTCCCTTGTTTTTCTCTCTCTCTTTTGCTTAGGCTTCGCCCACCTTGTCCCCACAGGCGCAGCGTTTGTGCTTCGGTGTTCGGACTCGGCCGTTGGCTCCATTCGCAAACCGACTCGCACGGATGGTGTGGCATGGATGGTCGCATCGGACGAGCTGGCAGAGTCAAATTTCTGGTGCCACGGATGGGAGAGCACGCACGCACACCGACGGTAGGTACAGTGCAGCGCAGTGTTTGCATTTCCAGCAGACTGCACTGCTCATGATAATGGTTCCAATTTTAAAAATCCGGGCAGAGCGATATGCACACAACGAAAGAGGTGGAAACCACAAACCCTCCAACTTGAATCCCACCTTACTTTTTTTTGAAGGCCGTGACCGGTTTCCATCCCAGGCCTCCCCCCTTGCCCACCAGCCCTCCTTTTGCCTCTCCCCCACACCCACCACATCTGCTTTGAATCAGGTCCGCTGCGCAGTGCCGTGCCGTATAGTGCGCTGTCCTGTCTGCAAACACGGTGCGCGACCCATGCCGCCGGACAACTTTTTCAAACTTCGCCCGTCCAGCAGCGCAAGCCATCCATCAGGCGGGACAATCATCAACTTGATGCCGACGTGACATATTACGGGGCGTGCTATAAACCGCCATGTTGCATGCGCAAGGCGGCTGCTGCAATCCGCCGTCCCTGCGGGCATGATTCTGTGATGATCATCAGTTCATTGCGTCGGTTCGTGCTCCTTCCTTCCTCCGTCCCCAGAGTTATTGCCCAGATCTCCATGGTGGATCCCCCGCTGATCACCCAAAAAGTGACAAGATGGCGATGCTGTCTTTGCTTTTATCGAGCGTGTTACAGTCGCCTGGTCGGGCCGCGCACAGAGACTCCTCCTCGCCAATTGCAACGACATGGCGACGCATAAATCTATTAGAATTGCCGATATTTCCCAGCGTCGCATTTCTGATGTGGTGGCACGGCCAAATGCGACGCTGCAGGGCCTGCTGTGGTCAAATTCTGGAGACGGAGAGTGTGGGGCCCGCGCCCTTCTCCAAAAGGCAAGGGGACAGTAACGTTTGTCCAAATACCGCCGTCGCACACACGTTGCAGCTCGATTCCGATTGGCTCGATGAATCGCCCAGATGGACCCAGCACGCACTCACAAGAGGAAGCAGTGCACGCAACCGGCTCCCGTCCCACCATCACCATCACAGACGTCCCTCAACCCTCCCTTTTTTTTTCTTTTCTATTATTTCCCCTTTTGCCAAATTAGCCGTGTGTCTCTTCGCCGGAAGTGGAAGGGGGGCTTGTTGCAAGATGGAGAATTTGGCCATCCTTTTTGGGCCTTGAAGCGGGACGGTGGCCCTTGTGTCCTCCTCCCACCCAGCCGGTGCCCTCCCACATACACTTAGCCGGGGTCTTGACCGTGCCCCCTCACACCCGCACAAGCGCGACGCATGCACGCGCCGTCTCGCCCTGTCCACCACGAAGATGAAAAAAAGGGAAAGTATCGCAACGGGCTGCCAGATGGGGCATGGCATCCGATACCTCCTTCTTTGACCCTCTCGAACGTCTGCCGCTAGCGTTTCGTCTCTAATTGACTTTTCTCCCCCTCGTCTTTCTGGTCTTCCTTCAGGAGCTTCTACGGTGGTTCCATGCAGGCTGTGTCGTGTTTGTCCCTGTCGTTTGAGGTTAGGTATTGCTGGCCTGGTGCCCGCCTGGGCAGCAGACCTGCGCGTGCTGGCTGACCGCCTACGACGCAACCACCCGCGCAACCTTCTTTTTTTCCTTTTTTTTCTCCTGCCCTGCTCGGGTCCTGCCTGATTTGGGCTCGGTTCCGAAACCCAATGGATACTGGACTGCTGATATTGCCATCTTATCCGATTCTGTTATCTTTCTTTTCTTTTTCCCTTTTCGGCCTTGCCGCCCTACCCCTTCATGTGCCGTGCCGTGTTTTGAGCTTGAAGCTCAGCTGTCATTGATGGTTTAGGTTTCGTGGCGGCTTTCGCATTTACACGTAGTGTTTGTTGGTCTAATACCTCATGGCCAACCCCTGGGAGCGCCGCTTGCCGCGGACGCCGATCGGAAAATCAAGCACAAACGCAAAACATTGCAGCGACATCTGGGGAGGTGTGTGTGGGTGCTGTGTGAAAAGGCACTCAGGTGTGTGAGCGAGTGTGTGTGCTGGTTTGAAGGAGCCCGGAAACGTGGTGTTTATCCATGCATTTCAGATCTTGGATCTCAGATCGAAAAAAAAGGAGATCTCGGGTGGACGGGATCTCCTCGCTTCTTTTGGGCTTGCCACATTCGGAGTTGCCCGCGAACGCCTACCTGGTCGGACAGGACCAGTGGTGGCTTTTTTGCTTTTCTTTTTCCTCTGACGTTATTCTTCACCGGGCTGGTGGAGGCGATTCAGGCCGAATTAGAGTCGAATTGGAGTCGATAAACGACGCGCTTGACGCAAGCGGGCAGCCCAGCCCAGCCCTTCTAAGATTTGGATAGCCACCAGCGGAGCAGGAGCAAAATCCCGGCGACCGGGGGATTAGATTGGGATTACCTCGATGTCGATACGCAACCGCATTTCTGGTAAGGCTAGACAGCCACGACCTCAGACGGTGGTCTCGTGCAGCGGTTGCGTTTGTCCCTGTCCCCCCCGACCTAGGTCCCAACCAAGGACGCACCAGATTTGTCCGATCCGGCCATGCTGTCTGTCCCCTTGTGCCCGTGGCTTGATTCGGCTCGTTTCTTTTTTTCTTTAGCTGATCTTCTTCTTTAGTGGCTTGTTGCAGACTTGTTTTAATAGCAAGACAGCCGTGGCGCTATACTACGCAAAGGTAACAATCTTGTCGAGCTGCTATTTATGAATATGTTGGCCGAGGACGTCACAAAAACTTGGCTCCATATCGGACCTGTCCGTTGATGCCATCCGCGCAGGCTAAACCCACGCCTCCTCACAAACTGGCCCCACCCGACGAGGCGAGGCGTCGTTCGCTCTCCACATGCTTGCATGCCGGCCCATCATATTCGCAAATGCAACTGCACCGAGTACGTCGACACGGCCCGAAAGGAATGGGAGGAAGAACAGTGCTGGCTGTCTCCAAAGGTTGGGCGGGCGGCCTTGTCGCGCCCATCGCTCCTCCTCTCCCCGATCCCGGCGACGCCGTCGACACGTAGGAACCCTCGTGCATGTTTGCCCGGCGCACGAGTGAGCCCTGTCTCGGCTGGCGGGCGGCTGACGCACAGGCTCGTCCGCGTCCCCCATGGTCGGAAGTCGGACCGCGCATGAAATCATTACGTGCCTTTTTCTTTCCCAGCCCGGGTGCCACCGCACGACGACCGGGGTGATAGGATGCTGCGGGCAGCCGGGCTAGACAGGGGCCGACCGGGGCTTTGTCACTGGTACTGGGCTAGTGGTGTTTGCTGGATGCTGGGAGGCACCGACAAACCAGAAGAGCCCGACAGATTGGGCATGGCTCCTGAGAAGGAACAAAGAGAGAAGGAGAGTGAGAAACTCTGGCTTAGACGCCATCTCCTCCCATTGCCCATTGCCCTTGCCCATTGCCCCATCCCTCCATCGATACCCAGACTGGCACTAATGCACCGCCGCAGCAGCTTACACCTCACATGGACCGCCCGCCTGCCTCTCGCGCTCGTTCTCCCGAACGTTGAGCGTGCTGAACGTGTTGCTAGTCTGTTAGCGAGTTCGCTTTTTGGCGCTACGCATCCCCATCCCCACCACATCCTTGTCTTCAGCCAAGCTGCCGACTTGGTGCATGGTACTTTAGGATGTTTGCAGGGAGGTTACTTTGCCTGCCGGATATGTCGGCGTGGCCTAGTTTAGCGCAGGAATGCGGCCTTACTGTACGTATATGGCTAGGGTAGCTGTCCGCAAACGCAAAAGAAGGATGGCCGTTTTTTTTTTTTCAACAGCTGAGCATTTCAGCAAAAGCTTCGCTGACTTCCTTCTGGCTTGAACAGCCTCAAGGTCTTCAAGCGAAGCATTAGGCGGATGAATCGCCTGCTCTGCTAGCTGCTACATGCGAATCCATCATGCATGAATGCGTGGCTAAACATGGCAAAACACCCCTGGCTTGGGGTTTTCCTGCTCTTTGTTTCTGCTTCTGCTGATGTTGCTCTGCCGGATGACGCTCGCCGACCCTCTTGGCATAATAATTCTTTTCATGCTTTTTTTTTCCGGCGTCGCTCTCTTTTCCTTTGCCGGCTTACCAGGAACACACCCATGCCGACCCCAGCAAACGGGCGGCTCGAGGACCAGGTCCTCGGCGCTCTTGCCATGAGTCCATGATCGACCTGTTTGACTCGCTCCTTTATTGCCCGCCCGCCCGCCCGCCCGCCCGGCCAAGCCCAAACCAACGCCCAAGTTGCCATGCGATTGATGTGCGTGCTTGCTTGGATTGTGGCGGGGACTCGGGGTAGACAACCGAGAGCTGGATAAAGTGAGTAACCACTCTCGGTCGAGTAGAGCAAAGCAAAGCAAAGCAAAGGCAAAGCAGAGCAGGGCACAAGACCCTGCACTTGTCTTTTCACATACATACGCATACACACACGCACACGCACACGCGCACACGCACAAGCACGCGTACTCACACACCTCGACTGCCACTCGAGGGCCCTTTTCGTTGTGACAGTGGGCAGATTATGTCAGGTGGATTGGATAATTCCCTGGCCCAGCACCCGGCCTCTGGTTTCTGGGACGGCGAATAAAAGAGCCGAGACAGTGACAGATCGAGACGAAAAGAAGGTGAGCCAAAAAAGCTCCAAGTCAAGCTCGCCGAGGCCCACCCGATCCACCTACCAGGGCCCCATCGGCTGGTGGGCACTTTCCTGGCCGGTTCTTGATGTCGCGGACAGGGGGCGTGAGAAGATGAAATAGGAAGGAACGAGGAACATGGATGGCGGCGCTAGGAACAATTCATGGTGGGGACTGGGTCGCGGAAGCAGCAATGGAGGGGGGGTGAGCGAATATCATATCTCCGGATCTGGGCGGCGGCCAATGCTGGGTCTCACTCCCCCAACCTGGATGGAGTCCCTTGTCCCTTGCTCCTGCCCTTGCTGCCACCACATCCATCCATTGACCCTGACCCTGACCCTGTTGCCCAAAAGAAAGAAAAAAAGGCAAAAAAAGAGGGATAAAAAAAAAGTCCCAGACCCAGACAGCCAATGTTGCCTGCCCGCCAGCAAAGACCAGCACGGTGCGCCATTTTGTTTCTTTTTTTGCTGGAGGGCACACCCATGATGGAACCAACCCCCATGTGCCGCCCTCTCGAACACCATCGTTGATCTATCTAATACAAGGTTCGGGCCCAGCCCTGAACAGGTGCCCTGAACAGGTGGGCGCGCGAGATGATTCTCGCCAAGCGAGGAATGCAGGGCATGAGAGATGTTAGTGTAGTTCAAACCAAGCCGAGGGCGCAGTTCAAACGACAACACGCCGCCTCCTGGGACGGCACACAGCCGCCGACGCAGAGGAGATCGGATCCGAGGCCGCTGTCGCCCCGTTTCTGATGCCATGGGTTTGACGTGCTATACACCACCACACCACACAGCACTGCACAGTACAGTCAGTACAGCACAGCACAACCCGACACAGCACACTGCTCAACTGCCCAGCCCAATACCACCCACATCACCGTCTTCCTTACCGTGCGTGATGTGAGAGGGGCAGCACTGCCTCGCCAGACCGAACCAAACCGAACCACCAAGCCGGCCCAACGAACACGGCGGGCCTCACGCGAACCTGTATTAATACGGAGCCGTGGGTCGTATATAACCCCCCGGGCCGCCAGTCAGGCGCGCGGCGCAAACACCCGACATCCAGGGCGGAGTACCTAGTCCAAGGCCCTGGCCCTGCTGCCCTGTCCTGTCCAGCCTAGATAGGACCAGACGAGACTGCATTCGCTGCTACCTGCTGTGCATACTTCCTCCCTCCCGCCCGCCGCTGCTACCCCCAGCGCCTGCCAACACTTGGCACTTGGGCAATCGTCTCCGTCGCCGCCGCCTCCTCCTCCTCCTTCCCCGTCCCCACCCGTCGAGCCGCAACGACTCACTGCGTGTCCACACCCCCCTCGAACAGACGCCGGTCCCACTGGGCTGCCACGGTTGCTTCACCGGTGCCGAGTAGGGATGCCGTCCCTTTGGCTTCGATTGCGAGGACAATAACTTATGAGCGCCGTCATCAGCGCTGTCTGTCAAGTCCCAGTCGCTTGCTGTCGCATGCACAACCCGTCTTGCACATACTGTCTGCACACCCTCCCCTCGTTTGTACCTGTACCCATCTGCATCAGGTCCTTACTTACCTTAGCGTCTGGCTCCGGGGTGTCGGCATTTTTTTCTGCTGTTGCTGCTGCTCCCCTCCACCCCCAACTTTCTTTTTTTTTTTTTTTTTTTTTTTTCTTATTTATTATTTTATTTTATTTTATTTTATTTTATCCCCCAAATCCTTTCTTTTGTCTTTCCGAGCGAGCTCTCTTCGGCAGCCCGTCACCCACCCATCCCTGCCGGCCTATCGCCTTGCTTGGACCCTGGATGCCTGTTCATCCCCCCCACTCTAGCAAAGCTGATCATCTCTGGAGAGGACCGCAAACACGGCCAGTACATGGCTCTGCTCGACCTAGCCTCCCTCCCCTGCCGACCTCCTTGTCGGCTGCCACGCTGCATACACCATACATACACCACCTTAGCTGCCCCATCCCGGCTCTCCTGCCGTCCACCACAGTACGTCTACCCTGGCCGCCGACCTCGCTGCTATCAGGGCTGGACCGACGTCTGCTCTATACATACCTACCTACATACCCATCTGCATACATACGCATACATAGCTCCAGACGCATACATAGCTCCAGACGCCCGGACATAGCTGCCTCCCGACCTCCTCAACCTGCCGCCCGCCTCGCCGCCACTCCCGTCTCTGCTCCCGCCCGCCGGAGCACGCTATTTAATTCGTGCTTCTTCTTGGCCCTCCTCCCCGTGCCCCTTTGGCTCGGTCAGACAGTCCAGCGCATCCTCCCGACCCGTGCCAGCTTGGTGCCTCCGCCCCTGTTCCCTGACTTGACAGTCATGAGAGCGTAGCCGCTACAGCCTGCGGACCGCACTCAACACCGAACGACGGAAGACAGGCTGGCTCATCTCTGCTGGGCGGCGACCATCTATTATGGCAGGACGTCCTATTGGGTTGAGAAAGTCTAACGGAACCGGCCTGTCTGCCTGACGTACTCACCCGCACTGCGCTTTCTCATCTGCTGTTTTTTTTTCCCTCGGCCAAACACCAGCCCTCGCGCTCATTGGCTGGAGCATAGCTCGGAGAGACGCCGCCAACCATGCTCCTGTCTGCCTTCAAATTCATAAGCAGCTCCCCCTTCTCCTCCTAATCCATCCCCTCCAAAAAACCAACAAAACAAAACGAGGGATCCCCCAGCCCAACCTCCATCTCGTCTGCTGTCTTTGACCATCACGCATAAATCCGTGCTCGTCGTTAGCGCCAGCCTGACTTGCCGCACACTATCATCACCCTTGCTTCCACCCGCCTCTGCTTCAACCGCGTAGAAACGACCTCATAGAGATAAAAATCTACCTCGGGTCGTGTCTGGACCGCCTCCCCAGACCCTCCCCACACCCTTGGGATCAAGCAACCCTTCTCATCTCTCCTTAGCAGAGGCAAACAGCGGGCAGGAGGGCACCCAGCCAAGAGAAGGCATCGAGTCGCACAAGCGAGACCACGAAACCCAGCCGCACACGCACGTCGATAACGCCCACCCATCGAACCCCACGCGTTTTTGGGCCCGCAAGTCAACGACGCAAGAACAGAACCCTCCCCTCCCTTGACACACCTTTGATCGTCACATCCCCCAGGAGAGACAGATCCCAGGTGCCCTAACGCGTCGGCTGAGAGGCTGCTTGCCGCCCACCCACGACCGGGGGCAAGGAAGCGCGCAGGTTTCTTGGGCTGATGAAAACGGGCCGCCGCTTACGGCTAGGCTAGGCGAGACACCGTCAACGTGGATATCGCCTCGCTACTCAAGGGCTCCGACTCTAATGAGTCTACTTCGGCTCCCACACATCTAGCCAAACCTGCCTCTGATCCTCCCCCGACGCTTGCGACGGCGACAACCGGCGGTCCTTCGCCGAACTACAGCTACACCACCACAGTTCAGCAACCAACCGCACTAGTGGCTTCCACGTACGCCCCCGCCTACGGGCCCGGCCCTGGGCCGTCCTTTGCGCCCGGCTCCTCCGCGCTGGGACGGGATATAGGCCCGCAGTTTGGGACAGGCCCCGTTTCTTTCGGGCCCGTCTCCGGATTCGGTCTTGGGCCAGGCCCGGCGACAGGCCACAACCAGCCCGTGTTTTCATCGGGCAGCAGCAGCAGCACAGCCGCCTCGTCGGCGCCCCCTCCGAGGCGCAGCATGCCGCCGCAACACGCGGCTGACAGCCCTCCTGCGGCAAAGAAGCAGAGCAAATGGTCGCCCGAGGAGGACGCCATCATCATTGAGCTTCGGGGCAGTGGGATGAAATGGGAGGACATCTCGAAGCGCCTCCCAGGGCGCAGCTCCATCAGCTGCCGTCTGCACTACCAGAACTACCTGGAGAGGCGAAGCGAGTGGGACGAGGAGCGGAAAAACAAGCTGGCGAGACTTTATGAGCGGTAAGTTGCGGCAGTTTTGCAGGGGCTTGGAACACGGCGGCTGAAAGGCGCGCCACAAGCGGGCTGAGCTGGGTAGTGTTGCTTGCATCGGAGAATTTGCTAACTCTAACTGTCCAACACCCTTAGCCTGAAACCGGACATGTGGCAAAAGGTGGCGGAAGAGATGCAGGTTCCATGGCGGGCAGTCGAGGCGATGCATTGGCAGATTGGCGAGCAAGACATGGCCAGGCGCGCCGGCGTCGTGGCCTTCTCGCTCTCAGGGGCGGCCGAGAATTCGCACCACCAGCGAGCGTCTCCCTCGAGGAGCCACCACCACCCGCAGTCCCACGGCCACATGCCCCGCGACATCCTCCCGGGCGCCGGCCCGACTCACTACGTGCCCCGTGGCGGCATGCACCCCGTCATACCGCCGCCGCTCCAGCCGCCGGGCCGGCCACTGGCCACGCGCCGGGACAGCGTGCACTCGCGCACACTCGGCGGCCACCACCACTACGAGATGGGCGAGCCGGCCCAGTCCATGTATGCCCCCGCGCACGGGCTGGCACCCATTCAGACGAGCGCGCCACTGCCACCACCGCATGGCGGCGGCGGCGGACGCCTTGGCAGTGGGAGTGGTGGTGGTAACACGCTTCCGTCAGTGGCCGAGCTGACGACCGGGGTCAGCCCCTATAGCACACCCGCGTACTCGGTTGCGGGCGTGAGCCCGGTGCACAGCCACGCCACCGCCAGCCCGAGCCAGTACCCACCAAGCATTCCCCTGTACGCGAATCTAGACTCGTCGGGGGCGGCCAAGCGGCGGGCCAGCCCTGATATGGGCCGCGAGACCAGCCGCCGGCGGTATTACGATCCCACGCCGCCTGATCCGGCAGACCGCGGTGCCCCTTCGTCCGGCCGACGCATCATGTGAAAAAGACTCTACCGTTGATCCTACTACTACTACTACAATTATTATTATTACATAACGAGAAAGGAGGGAAGAGGGAAAATCATAATACGAGGGCGGCATGTTCACTCAGCTACGCCGGCCATGTTCGCTCCGTTGACCTTAACGGCAACGTCGAGCACATCAGGCAGGCTTCCTCTTTTGTCCTGCCGAGTCGGCTTGGGCATCGGGTTCGCGTTCTGCTTTCTCTGTTTTACTTGCCTTGTCCAGTACTCTCCGGGGAGAATTCCTGTTTCATACCACACTGCCTGTTCTTTTTTATTTTATTTGACCGTCTAATACCACGGCATCTCTTACAGCACCGGAGTTTGGCATGTGCAAGAGATGGGGGTCTGTTTGCGGCTACATCGCATCATACAAAACGAACCAAAACAAAAACATAACCTACATCTTTGAAGGAATGGGGCCTGGCCAAAGCTGCCTGTTTCGATTAAGCATGGGTTTTCGTTGCTTCGGGGCAGCGTCGCGTCCTTCCATTTTCATCGGCTGCATTGTCCGTCCGGCGAGGGTTGTTTATGTGATGGGATCTTGATCTTTTTCTTCCCTCTTTTTTTGCTTGTCGAACGACGGCCTGCTCCCCCCCTCACCCCTGACCCTTATTCTTTTCAGGATACGAGGCAAGGTCGCGCCACGGAACGGAAAGCCAAAAAGGTTTTGGCAAGACAGAATGCCTGGCTGACCAAAGCCTGACAAATCGGGGGACGGAGCAGGGATTGCGCCGCGACGAAGCAGGACAGCAGTCGTTCGCACGGGCGCTTCTCTCGTCTGCTGTGGGGAGGAAAAAAGAGGAAAGGGGAACCTAGAAAAGGTGGTGTTTGACTCCGGGATGACGCCTGAAAAGGGAGGGGAAGGAGGAGAAGGAAAATTCCCAGCGCGCGAAGCAAGGCCTCCCGTTCGATCCATGGATCCAACAACAACGCATTATTCCCACCCACCGAGCACAGACTCGCGCACACGCGCAAGCGGGCAAAACAGCCCATGTCCTGTCCTGTCTCTCCCTTTCCCGCTTCCCGCCGATATCAACACGCCCCTCCTTTTTTTTTTTTTTTTTTTTTGGTTGCTGTTGTTGCTTCGGCCGGGCTATTCCCCCGCGTCGTGGTCAACATCAAACCCCCATGGCATTTTCGCGGTTCTCGGTTCGACAAACCTGCATTTTTCTTTGCTGCTGTTTTCGAAATCCCTGGGTTTCCCTTTTTGGACCGAGCAGGGCAGGACAGGGTGGGGGTCTAAGAAGGAGTGGATGTCCGAGGAGAGCGACAACGGGCGACAGCAACAAGAAAAAAAAACGAGAGAAGAGCAGAGGCTTGCTTGAAGTCGGCTCGCGTGAGCGTTCTTATTTCGTTGCTACTAATTCCTTCAAGTCATGGATCCTCCTTCCTCCTGCCCATCTTGTCCTGTTTGTCCATCCTCCCATCTTGTCTCCCCTGTTCAGAACACAACTGTTGTGTCTCCTCTCGCTTGTTTGTCATTATGAGAGCATGTTGTTCATGTGTGCATACAAAGCGCGCGCTTTTTTTTTTCTCTCGATCATTTTGTGTGTACGACTGGCGTTTGCGATGATTCGGGCGGCTGGCCCCTGTGCAACCGATAGAGGCGGTGGGCGTTGGCTTTTTTTGTTCAAGATTTTATGACGCATATGTTCGATATTCCCCCCTAGCATGTCATTCTTCCCTGTCCCATTTTGTATCACTGTCGTTGGATCTCTGTTTTTTTTCTACTGTAATCTACGGGTTAGGTCCCTCCTAGGGGAACTTGTATCGATTAGCAAAGTTGCATTACAGTTTTCGGGACGGCGGCTTCTCTCCATCCCTCCTGCTGTCATCTCCCTTTTTAGTCCCCTTGCATCGGTCGGTATCTTCCATGGCATCACGCATGTAATCAGTGTGCAGAGGGCGGCTTCAGATACAGGGATGGAAAGTTTATTTATTTTTCCATCATCATCTGTTACTGTATTCAGCTTAAGCGCGGGCTTTCGCAGAACAGGAGGGGCTAGAGGTCTAGGAAGGATCCCTCCTAGCAATGGCCCACCAGTTGTCCCTCTCGTAGCCGCTGTCGACGACAACCCCGCCGGCCGCGGCGACGTCCTCCTCGAGCTCGCCCTTGCAGTAGAGGTGGTAGTATCTGTGGAACGTCCTGTCGGGGGCTCCAGCGTTTGCGTCAGCTGGGTCCTGAGACGCAGCATCATCATCATTTGCCTCGGCAACGCCGTCTGCCGCTGCCGCTGCCACATCGCTCTTCTCCCCGCCCTCCTTGGCCCCCTTCTTCTTCCTCCGCTCTCTCCCCTGGTCGCCCTTCATGACCCAGGGCACGAGCAGGTCCTGGTCGCCGCCCTCGTCCCAGCCGCGGCGGCTGGACGCCTGCTCGAGGGCCCAGACGAAGACGAGGGCGGTGCCGCCGCCGGTGCCGGGCCTCAGGCAGCGCAGCAGCTCGGCGACGGCGGCGACGCGGCGGTCGCGGGTCGAGAGGTGGTGGATGACGGCGACGCAGAGGGCGAAGTCGGCCGAGCCCCGGCGGAAGGGCAGCGACAGGCCGTCGGCGACGAGGACCTGGCGGGCGCGGCCGGCGTGGGCGCGGGCGAGGCCGACGAGGGCGGCGCTGCGGTCGCAGCCCAGCATCAGGACATCTTCCGAGGCGGCGGCGGCGGCGGCGGTGGTGGTGGTGTCGGTACCGGTGGCGGTGGGGTCAAGGTCGCGGGCGGACAGGTACTTGCCGTTGCCGCAGCCGACGTCGAAGCCGACGGCGCCGGGCTGCTGGGCGGCCAGGTAGCGCGACACGAGCGGCCAGGGGCGGTGGCGGGTGGCCGAGAAGTGCGGGGCGATGGCCTCGTAGACGGCGTGGACGTGTGTCGCCTCGTACGAGTCTGGCGCGGCTGGTGGTGGTGGTGGTGGTGGTGGTGGTGTTTCCATTGCTGGTGGTTGTGGTGCTGTTGCCGTTGCTGCTTCTCCTGGGGGTGCGGCGGCCGCTTGGACGGGTTCGTCTCCTCGCGCTGCTACCGCCGCCGTGGGTGTGGTGGCACATGCCCGTTTATGCTGCTGCTGCTCCTGGGCACCGACGTGGCCCTGCAGCGGACGGCGGCAAACCTTGTCTGGCGGGCCGGGGCGGGCCAGCGGCGCCACGGTGGAAGCGGGCGGTGCGAGGCGGAGGGATGGCGGGTCCAGCGCTGGGGGTGTCTCCGATGTTAGTTCGTCTGCGGTTGCGGCGGCAGGGGCGGGAGAAGGAGGAGGAGACGCAGCAGTAGGAGCGGTTGCTACAGGAGTGACTGTAACAGCGCCAGCACCAGCACCAGGGCGGTCAGCCGCGTCACCGTTGTTGGAAGGGAGGACCATGGCTTGTCTGACACAAAGGTTAGCTGGCGGGGCACATGTTGTCGGAGAGGGTGTGTAGATGCATGCACATGTGTGTGTAAGGCAAGGACCGATAGGATAGCACGAGGGCCACCTGATGTGGAGGATAAACCTGTATGTGCCTGTTACTCGCCAACACACCCCCCTTCAAACCTACCGGGCTTTTACTCGATTTGCTCTAGCGTTGTGCCTGGGTTCGTTGAGGAGGGGTTGGGCTAGGTACGGTTGGGGCAGCTGGGGTTGCCTAAAGGGGTTTGAAACGCCTTTTTTTCTGCCTTCTTTTTTGACACTCTCTCCTCTTGGTGCTTGTTCCCTTCGTTGCTCCAATCAAGCAGTCTTCACGCGGGCTCTCAGCAGAAAGCTTGACTGGCCGAGGCTGAAGCTTGCCGCGGGGCACAGCAGGCACAGTAGAAGCGACTGAGGGAGGGGAGGGGTGTGCGTCCTTAATTTTTCGGGTTGTGGGCGGACACAGTGTCAGCAGCACTAAACCCAGACTGTATGCTAGCCCACCGAGTTGACCTGTCGTTTGCATGCGCAATCAAAAAACGTGCCGTTGCCCCCAAAGACGGGATGATGGTTGCCCGGTCTCTTGCCCGGTCAGTGCCGGACTCTCGCCTTTGAGGCCAGGTCCAGGCCAGTCTGCGATCGGAACATTTATCCCAAAACGTGCTCTCGAGGCTGTGGTGAACTGGAGGGGCTCCCCTCACGCTCTTTTGAGCGATAGCACGCATATGTACAGGTGTCCAGGATCACAAACACTAGTGCGGTGGATCTTGGTGGTACATCAGTTGGGCTTGGTTTTACAAGGAAGAAAATGTATCTTGCTCCACCGCACTAGTGTTTGTGATCCTGGACACCTGTAGAACGCACAGCAAAGAGCCCGACAGCCAGAACTCTGCAGCCAAAAGAACTCTGGCTTGCGGGCGTGATCCCTCCTGCCCACGTCCTGCCCACGCAGAGATGGCGTTGCGTGCTTTCGGCCAGCAGCACCGCAAACGCTCCTGGCTCTGGTCGATTGCCAGAGGAGGGGTTTTGCCCATCTCTGTTCTGGGCAGGGTGTGGTTGTAGCACCAACCCAACGTGGCTCCATCCCATCCCTGACCCCCTCCAGTCCCAGTCGGACAATATTTGCCCCATTTTTTCCCCATGCACGGGCGGCACACGCGCCCACTGCCCACTGCTGCGCCCCATGTTTTTTGCCCCAGAACAACAACATCAACATCCCAGCCATGAACCTTGACCCTCCCCCATTGCCCGCTGCCCGCCGCCCGACCGTCAGCCTTCCTTGACGTCATATCTCCCTCCGCGCCTGCCTCGCCATGCCCAGGCTCTCCGCCAAACAGTCCACGGGGCCTGGGCTCAACGCCCTCATTTATGCCGAGATCCAGCAGCTGAGGCGCTGGGTCGCCTCGTTCCCGCGCCGCCCCTCCCAAAAGGAGACCATGGCCTGGATCGAGAAGAGGTTCGACAAGAAGATCGCGCAATACACCATCTCCCGCTACCTCTCGAGCCGCTACGCGCACGTCGACACGGTCCCGCTCGGCGACGCCTCGCTGCAGGCCACCAGGCCACGCGTCGGGCAGTGGCCCACCCTCGAGCGGATGCTCTATCAGTGGCACCAGGAGCAGCCCCCGGGGATAAGGGGTGCCGCCAACGAGCTCCTGCAAGCAAAAGCCCTCGAGATCTGGATGCAGCACCAGGAGGCGCGGGAGGGCGAGCCTTCCACCACGCCGCGCCCCGCCCTCGGCGCGAGCTGGGTGCGCATGTTCAAGGAGAGGCACGGGCTCAAAAGGAGGAACTCGCGCGGTAAGCCCTTGGTGATGGCGACCGCTGCCACAGAAGGGGACGCGGCCGCGGCTGCCCTGGAAGAGCACAACGAGGCGGTCAACGGTTCCGATGCGACGCCGGAGGCAGATTCGGAGATTGACCACCACGAGGACGCCGAGGAACCGGCAGAGGCGGAATATATCACCAACGAAGTCACGCCCGTCCGGCACGTCGTGGAGGCGGTCATGGAGGACCCGCCGACGACCAATGATAGTCACGCTGATAAACCCACTGCCGCTGCTGACGACGGCCACGCCCCAGGCCTGCAGTCTCCCCTGGCGCTCTCCGCGGGGGTCACCAAGCTCGCGGAGCTTATACAGTTTGTGCAGACGTCTAGGGACACGGACAAGGATGACCTGCTGCTGCTCCAAAGCCTGAGCAATAAATGGGACGCGCTCATGGCGCTGGAGAGGGCGCGGGCGCGTCAGAGGGAAACGGTGGAATCCTTCCACAGGCTGCACGGCGCGTAGTAGTAGCGCCGTCGTGTTTTTTTTTTTTGCGGCCCATGGGTCGTCGTCGGGGTGTCGTAATATAATCGGCATATATTGAAGGCGGCGGCGGCGGCGCGGCGCGCAAGTGGATAATAATAGTAATAATGCGGGAGCTGCGGAACAGGACCTCGGCGCGTGCCCCTACATGTACAAGGGGGCGGCGGCGGGCTAGCGGTCCTTGGCGCGCGTTAGTGGCCATCCATGGCCGCCGTGCTTGGGAGGGAGGATGGGCGTGATGCAGGGCACGAGGAAACTTTAAAGATGAACCAGCAAAAAATAAGGGGAACTGTTGAATCCGAACCGGTCTGCCCGCTCACATGACTGACATTTAGTGAGGTCCCCCCCCTTTTTGGTGCCTCCCTTTCTTGCTGTCCTTTGTCTCACTTTTGCCTGCACAGCGCACACCGCCCCCTAGATAGGTAGGTATGCTCCAAGTGGACAGCACACATCTGAGGCGACCTAAAACGGCTTGGTATTCTTTTTTTGTTTGTCCTTCTAGAAAAGGGAGGCAGGGCCAACGCCCCGCCCTACCCCGTTGGCTCGGGCGGAAGGGGCGTCTAGACGAACAGGCCGTTTTGCCGCTTTTTTTTTCTGCTTGTCTTGTCTCGAGGCTAGGCTAGGCCTATATTGTCCTTTTGGTCGCACGCGCCCTCTCCCTTCTAGAATAAGGTTCACCCACGCTAGATAGGATAAGGGTGCTAAATACCTAGGTATGTACCCAAGTACAGGTACATGGAGCAAACTCGCTGGGCCATTCTGTGTTTTCTTAGGCCCAGACCACAGATCGTACAAGATAGGGTTTTGTCTTCACCTCTTGGTTCTTTGTCATACTTCGTCAGGCGCGTCGCCGTCGCCATCGCCGTCGCAGACGTCGCAGCGTCCCGTCTGGACGTGTTTTGCAGGGTGGTGCAGATATCGGACGAAACCCCCTTCGGCGGTTCATAAACCCAGAGGCCCGGGCGCAACGAACTCGGGCTTTTTTCTTCTTCTTTTCAATGCAGCGCTTTCCCCACACCACCGGAACGGCATCTCTGTCCGTCCGTCCGTCCGTCCGGGGCCAAGGAAGGCGTTCCCGGTTTTGCTCGTGCGCAGAACGCCAATGGTTCATGCAACGCCTCAGAGAGGTTGGAGAGACGGTCTGGGGATAATAAGACAGGCTGAGATATTATCGACATAGCACACGGGTTAATAAATACAAAACGCCCCAACGAACCCCGAATGTGCGCACTGTTGGGCTGGCCAGGGACTATGCTTGGCAGGCAAAATTGGATCCGGCCACATGCGGCTCGGGTTCGCGTCGCATCTGGCCTCTCCCTCCCCAAGACCCCCTCTATCCCACACAGGCAGGCAGGCAGGCAAAAGCTACCCCCTCCCCGTGTTGAGCGGGCTCTCCGGGTCGTAGACGTCGGTGGTGATGAGGTCCGGGTACTTGACGCCGCCCTGGCGCAGCGCCTCCTCCATGACCTGCATCATGACGACGCTCTCGTCGAGCGGGAGGCCGTCGCTCTCGAGCCTGCCGTCGCGCACGCACCGCGCCGCCTCGTCGGCCTCCCAGAACATGCCGTGGCCCCAGCCCGCCCTGGCCGGGTCTTTGGGCACCACGAAATCCTCCTCCTCCACCTCCACCACCTCCGCTTTGCCGTCGTCTCCGACCCGCCGCAGCACCCGGAACCCGTCGGGCCGGTACGCGTACCCCAGCACCTGGATCTCGCCGCGCGTGCCCTGGATGCGGATGGCGGGGCTGCGCGCAAAGGAGCCGCCGGGCTCGTAGGTGGACCCGACGCGCAGCGACGTGAGCGCCACGCCGACGGCGCCGGCCCGGGGGAAAGTCAGCACCGTGCTGGTCGACTCGTCGGCGCCCGTGCCGGCGTGCCGCACGCTGGCGCTGACGACGGTCGGGGTCTCGCGGTCCGAAGGGGGCTGGGCGTGGTATAGGGCCTGGAAGACCCAGGTGAGCGAGTAGACGCCCAGGTCGAGCAGGGCGCCGCCGGCCAGGGCCGGGTTGAGCATGCGGTGGTCGTTGGGGAAGCTGAGGCTGCCGTCGGGCCGGCTGTGGTTGATGGACAGGTCGGCTGTTTTTTTTTTTTTGGCGGAGAGAGAAGGGGTGGGGGTGTTCGTCAGCGGTTGGTCATGGCCAACAGGTTCAGGCTGCATGAACTGGACGTTGGGTGAAACGAAACACGGGGGAAAACCTTATACATAGGACACACGCACACATACACACACAGACATAACGGGCAGAACAGAGAAGGGGGAGTGAAAAGAAAGAAAAAAAAACTGACCAATGACGCGGTGCACCTTTCCGATGGCCCCATCCCCGATCAGCCGCCTGATCTTGACGCTCATGGGAAAGTAGCGCGTCCACACGGCCTCCATCAGGAACAGGCCGCGCGCCCTCGCCTCGTCGGCCAGCTTGCGCGCCTGGGCCGCCGTGACGGCGAAGGCCTTCTCGCACAGCACGTGCTTGCCGGCGCGCAGGGCCAGCATGGCGTTCTGGAAGTGGTGGCTGTGCGGGGTCGCGACGTAGACGATGTCGACGTCCGGGTCGGCCACCAGCCCGGCGTACGACCCGTACGTCGCGATGCCGTCGCGGCCCGGCGCGTCCACCTTGGCCAGGAAGGCGGCGGCCTTGTCGGCCGACGTGGACGACGCCACGGCCGCGACGGCGTGGCGGACGTCGGAGACGCCGCGGGTTGCGGGGTCGGTGAGGAGGTCCTTGACGAAGGCTGTTTTTTTTTTTGGGTTGTGTTAGGTTTGCTGGGTGTCGTGGCTGGGGAGGGGACGTACTCTCGGCGATCCACCCCGTGGCCATGATGCCCCATTTTATAGTCGTGGTTCCTGAAGCCATGTTGTTTGCGATGATTCCTGTTGGAGTGGAAAGTAATGATGAGGTTGATGTTCCCTTGGGGTCAGTGGTTTACTATTATTCCCCATCTCCAAATTGACAAGCGAGTCCAACTCAATCCCATGGAGGGGGGCGGGGTAAACACCCCATCCCTTTTATACATTGAGCCTCAAGACGACGACCGAGCCGATTGACCCCTATCTGCCTTTTTGGGGCCGCGGAACGGAGGGACAAGAGCCGGGTTGCACCGTCCCTTGGCGGGCAATGAATTCCCTCGTCGTTCAATCGAGCGACAACCGACCTTCTGCCCCTCTCCCCTGGCGCCCCACCGTCCCGTCCATCCGGGGCCGATGATGCAATCATTGGCAGAGTGGGGTTACCGTCTCTTTCTTGTCATGGTGAGGACTTGGGAGAGAAAATGAGAAAATGGGATCCGGCTTTTGGCCAATGACACCCCACCATTAAGCTAGTTGCTATAATATTATGCGCTGCCCTGAAGTTTTGCAGCCTCGGCCCGCAAAATCATCTGGAACAGCTCAATGTCCTTCCTGGCATCAGCCGCGCTCGTCTTGACCTCCCTGCCCTCGACGACGCACCGGTACAGCTCCTGCAACTCCAGCGTGTAGGCGTCGGTGTAGGTCCTGCGGACCCGCCTCTCCTGGAACCCGCCGTCGGCGCCGGGGGCCCTCTCCCGGACCGCCATGGTCGTCGGCAGGCCCTTGACGTAGGGGCTGTCGAACTCGACCCGGACGATCTTGTCGGCCGAGTAGACCTCGATGTGCGCGTCAAGGTCGGGCACGCCGTTGAGGCCCGACTCGTACGTCACGCCGAAGCGGCCGTAGTCGAAGAGCACGCAAAAGACCCCTGGCAGCGTCAGCGTCGCGCCCGCGACGCCGACGGGCATGCCGAGCATCTCGCGCATGGCGGAAAGGTCGTGCGTTCCCAGCCTATATGTGAGGTCGTGACAACATTCCAGTCAGTCAGTCAGTCATCGAGGAAGAAAAGAATCCAAAGGACATTGGGGGAGAAAAAAAACTCACCCTCGCAAAACCCGCAGCATGCGCTTGGACTCGGGGTGTGACGGGGACGCCAAACTCGGCCGCCAGGGCCTGCTGCTGTATTTCCTCCTCGCGCGCGGCGCGGTCCGGCGAGTCCTCGTCGCTAAAGTCCTCGAGCCGGCGCGGGAAGGTGCCCGACTGGTCGACGGAAGACGGCGTTGGGGCCGATGATGTCGCGCACGCGCGCGTACGTGACGCGGTCCATGCTGCCGACCTCCTCGACGGCGTCCAGGACGAAGACGCGGGGTGCCACCACCTTGTTGTTAGTCGTAGCAGCTGCAGCGGCCTCCTTCTCGGCCGCCACCAGCCTGTCGATGTCGCGGAAGCACAGCGCCGCCGGCTTCTCGATCAGGCAGTGCTTTGCCGTGCCGCAGGGCCAGGACGCCGTGCTCGACGTGGTACGCGTCCCGCGTTGGCGATGAGCACCACGTCGACGTCGGGCGAGGCGCAGAGCTCGGCGGCGTCCGTCGTGGTCTTGGGGCTCACCCCGCCGGCCACCCTTCCGGCGCAGTGGGCGAGCGCCTGCCGCGAGATGTCGCACAGATACGCCGTCCGGAACAGGTGGAACAGGAAGTTGATGTTGGGGATGTGCGCCACCTAGCTGATCTCCCCGCACCCGACGATGCCGACCCGGAGGACCGGACCGGCGCCGTCGCTGCCTGTCTTGTCCATGTCGACGTCTGAATAGTATGTAGGTAGTTAAAGAAGGGGTAGTCGTGTGCTTTCACCACAAAAAAATAAGTTGCTTGCTCCAAAACATACATGGTAACGCCGTGATGCTTACACTAACGTCCCGAGTATATACGACAAGGACATTTGTGGAGCTCATGCCCCGCATCCGTCGGGGAATGTTATGTGTCTCTAGGAATCTCCCCGGTGCTTTGGAAGGCAATTCGAGGGCGGCTGTGGGTGGTGGTGTTCTAGCTGGTGCCACCTCCCCGAGGTAAATGCCGTTGTCCGTGTGTGCGGGGAGTCTTTGGGCGGGATGTAGTCCTGGATACAATCAGATCCGCCAACACAGGAATGATAGTAGCAACACCCAGCTTCCCAAACTGGAACCCAGCAGCACAAAATGGTCGACATCCAGAATGAACTTCCCACCCTCCGCTGGGGCATCGTCGCCACGGGCCTGATCTCGTCCTGGTTCGTCCAGGACCTGGTCATGGAGCGCAAGGACCCAAAGGCGAAGCACGTCATCCAGGCCATCGGGTCCTCATCGGTCGAGAAGGGGACGGTATTTGCCGAGAAGCACCTGGCGGGCAGCGGCCACGCCCCCAGCGTCTACGGCAGCTACGACGCCGTCTATCAGGACCCGGCCGTCGACATCGTCTACATCGGCACGCCGCACGCCCTGCACAAGCAGAACTGCCTCGACGCCATCGCCGCCGGTAAGCACGTGCTGTGCAAGAAGCCCTTCACGCTCAACGCGGCGCAGGTGGGCGAGGTGTTCGCCGCGGCCCGGGCCAGGGGCGGCGTCTTCGTCATGGAGGCCATGTGGACGCGCTTCTTCCCCCTGGTGCGGACGCTGCGGTCGCTGGTTCACGGGGACGAAAGGGCCATCGGCGACGTCCAGCGCGTCCTCTGCGACTTCTCCATGGACCAGAACCCGGGCTCGCTGGGGCCCGCGTCGCGGCTCAAGGACCCGGCGCTGGGCGCCGGCAGCCTGCTCGACATTAGCATTTACAGCCTTACCTGGGCCCTGCTTATGCTCGAGGACCCCGCCGCCGCCGATGCCGATGCCGCGAGGCGGCGGCCCAAGGTGGCCGCCCTGCAGACGCTGGCCGACGGCATCGACACGGCCTCGTCGGCCATCCTGCTCTACCCCGACGGCCGGCAGGGCATCGTCACGAGCTCGTCGGCCATCAAGAAGGGCAAGCAGCCGTTCTGCACCGTCCAGGGCACGCGGGGCTACGTCGAGGTCCAAGGGTTCACGTCGGCGCCCGGCTTCTTCACGGTACACACGTTCGACGCCGAGGGCGGCGGGCTGTTGTCGAGGCGCTACGACTTTGAGCGGCCCGGCAGGGGGTTCTACTGGGAGGCGGACGCGGTGGCGCAAGACATTTCGGCCGGGAGGGTCGAGAGCAGCGTGATGCCGTGGGCCGAGACGGTCAGGGTCATGGAGCTGCTGGACACCATCAGGAAACAGGGCGGCGCCCGGTTTCCTCAGGACTCCGAGTAGGCAGCTTAGCTAGCAAGCTTGCCAGTTCCGAAGCTATGATCGCTGCGGCAAAGGTGCAGTGATAACCTCTGCACGACGTATCTACATGTACCTGATTCACAAAGCGCATCCCCGCCGCTCACTCGGCCGGATTCTCGTTTGTTCTCGTCAGCACAAATAATCGAATACAAACAGTGCCCCGTCGGACAATAGACCCGAGATTAAGGTGGAACGGCTACGCTCGCCCACGAGCTAGGATATTACGAGATGCCCAGGAGCTCGAGACATCAGATACATCCGGCAGAGGGAAATTGGTCCAGACCCGCCGTGGGCGCCCTGCTGCTGCCGTCGTCGCTGGGGTGTTGCGCCCCGACTCCCTGCCGAGATAAAAAGTGGCGGACGGAACCAGTGGATATTTCGTTAAAGTAGTGCGTGTTTACAAGCTGCCTGATGAGCTCGCCGCTGACAGACCCGCCCTCGGTAAAGACCTGCGAGAGGACCTCGTCCGGGGAGGTGAGTCGGGGCGGAGGCGGGAATTCCATGATGGGCTGAGGCAGCGATCGTTTTCCGGGTCGGAAAGGAAAAGCGTGGGCCAAGGAAGCGAAGGGGCCTCGCTGCTCCTCCACAAGAAGCACTGCCCGTACTCTAATTTCTTGCTTGCGGCGTCGTGGATGTTGTAACACGTGGCTACGCCCCTCTGCACACAGAGATACGACCGGCCCCCGTCGTCCTTGCAGTTTAGTTGTGCGCGCTGATCATGGGGCACCCGGTCCTCCGCCAGTGGTGTGCTGGCAGCCCGGCGCGAACTTGAGCTTGTCTTTCTTGATGGTCTCGAAGTTGGTGCACCTGACAGTCGCCCGCTTCGTGATGGAGTCGTTCTCAGCTCCGAGGAGACGTCTGGCGTGGGTCTGGGTGCTGCTGCTGTCGCCGTTGCCGGCAACGACGGCGGTGAGGAAGGACGCGGTGTTGGATGGGCTAGACCTGGCCGAGGCGAGAGCTTGGGGAAGGGGTGGAACGGTTTAAATGGAAGTGGGGAGGGCCCTGTAGTTGCTCTTTAGGGAAGGTGGGGGGCTGAGAGGCACAGGGATAAATCTAATGACGCGGGAGGAAGCGTGACAGTTGATAGGAGAATGGATGGCAGTGGGCTCGATGGTTCAATGATGGCTGTGTGTGGTTTTCTAGGGGCTGGTAATGACAGTCCCCCAATATGGTGGCTATGGATGGAGAACTCTGGCCCCCCACAGCCCCCAAGGGGCACCTGTGATTCACTCGGTAACATAAGCCTGCCAAGTTGGGCCGCAGTGTGATGCATGAGCGATGAGAAGGGTGCGCTTAGAGGCCCACCGCCGCCGGGGGAAGTGACATGCCGTGTACTATTAGAGCTGAGGTTGTTGGCTACCTCTCCAAACCGGCAAGATCCTGCTGCGCAATGCCAGTCGACATCCTCGTTCGCCTCCCCACATTCCCAGACCGGGGGCTTAAGCTTGAGAAACGAGCCCCGCTTGACTCTCATCCACCCGTAGCACCCGGGTAGTGCTGGGAACGGCGGCGGCGGCTTCGCGTCCTGGCCTGCTGGGCCGTACTGTGACCGGCGTGGCGCATCGCTGAATGCGTAAAAGGCGTAAAAGTTGCTCACGGCACCCTCGAATGTTTGGGGTCCCTTGGGGTCCCTCTTTGGTGAGGATGGTTCGTTCAGGATCCGCTTAGGCCTGCTTCATGGCCCATCTGATCTTCTCCACTTGCGCGACGATGCGGCATTCGTCCTTGAAAGGTCACTCGAGGTGCCCGGATCCAAGGTAGTCGGGCAGTTTTCGCGGGTCGGGGCGCCAGCTACGCCAGAACTGGGCGAGACGTGCGGGAAGGACGTACGATTTTCACGGCGACGGGATCGTCATCGCCCAAGGTGGCTTTGTAGACGATTCCCTGTATTCCGCGGCCGAGATACTCCAGCCAATTGATTTGTGCACCGCTCCCCGGGAGCTGGCGCAGTCTGGGGTGCCGGAAGTCGCGTCGAGCCATCGGCGGAAGGCCCTGGAGGAGATCCCTGACAGTGGGCAGTGCCTCGCCGAGGGGGTCCATTATCTAGATGTTGTTGGCATCCGGAGAGCAAAGGACACGGTGAGAAGAACAAAAGGAAGCTGCACGGAACGCGGCGATGATGGGGCTAGCGGGTCTTTTGTCGTTTAGCTTCCCCACAGCCTCGTTCAGCCTCGCCCGCCACTCGACCAATGATGGATTCTCGCGATACTGCCTAAAAGCTAGAAGCCAGCCACATATTCACGGAGCAACTGCCCAGCCAAAGCGAAAGGCGTGGGCGGAAGCTGGCCGAAGGAAAATGACGAGAGACGCTCCATCTGCTGGTAGGAGCTTCGTGCTCCTGTTTGTGGCTCGGGAAGCCCCTGGTAACGATGAGCGGCGATCGTCTCTTATTGGGAGGAACCAACTGTATCATGCACGAGGCAGAAAGGGATATATCTGAGGGAGGTGGTGCGTGCCCTGGCGTGCAGCCTGGCGTGCAGCGTGCCTCGCGACTGGGTCCACGATACCCTCAATCACCCAGGGTGGCATTCTGTATGGTCCTGGCTTTTCAGCTCGACTGCCAGTGTCCTTCGCCATATCTCGGACCATTTTCATCCCTTGCTCGACATCGTTGATAGTTATGGAAAAGGATCGGTTTAAGCGGCTGAAAAGGTTCCCGTCCGTGGGCCCTGCGGCCCTCCTTGCTGAGGACCCCCTTGCGGACCACCGGACATGTTGTTCCCGTTAGGGCCGCCTTGCCATTGCATGGGAGGTCCGCCGGGTCCACCAGGCTGCTACTGGGGCTGTTGTTGCTGCTGCGCCCGCTGTGCTTGTTGCTGAGCTTGCTGTTGAGCTACAAGCTGCTGCTGTTGACGTGCGGCCACCATCATCTGCTGCTACTGCGCCGGGTTTATCGCGTTGAAAGGAGGCTGCCCCGGGTGAGAGCTCGGGGGCCGTCCCATGCCGTTCATCTGAGCAGCAACCATGTTGCCATTCATCTCGTTCATGCCTTTGTTGAAGAAGTGCGGCGCATTGTTAGGGTTGATTGCCGACGAAATACATGGGGTTCGGCGACTCCGCACGTGTAAGTTCGCGCGCCATCTCGGCTTTTTCTGCATTCAACATGGAAATTTCTGAAAATCGCTCGTTTTGTTTCATTTCTGCCTCCATAATGCTTTCGAAGAGGTTGTACAGTTGTTTCGTCGGAGGATCATGCTCCTGCTTCGTCGTAGCATCGAATTTCGCTTGGTTATCGGGGGCAAGGCGCGCTACTTGTTCCGTTGTGAGGAGAGGTGTTGGACTCGGCGTTGGACTCGGCGCTGGAATGCTTTGCTGTAGTAGCGGGGCTCCTCGGGCCACCCAAGGATGATGGAGGCGGCCACTCTGCCCCGGTCCTCGCCTGCTATAAGGCCGAGGGTCAATGCAGCAAAGTCTCTTTCTCGGAAACTCTCCTTCTGCCGATAAGTCTTCCGAAATGGTGCGCTTTACCGGGGCGTTCATGGCGGGGCCTTTCGCTTTCTTATCTCTAGCGAAGCCTTGCTCCATTTCGACAAATGCAGGTAAGCTGAAAGGCCGTTCGTTTGGCGTTTAACCGAATAGTACAGGTTGTTGTACGTTTTGTGAAAGAAAGGGGAGTTGAAGGGAGCCTGATTTTGGTGGACATCCCAGTAGCGGCGGTGAGGTGGTGTTTCTTTTCGAACAGTACCTAGCTCACGTGACTATTTGTGGCTGTTGTCGCTGTTGGGCACGGTTGTGTAACACTAGGTAGTGGCTGCCTAAAAAAAAACTGCCTAGAAGTCCGCACATCAAACACCTAGTCCAAACTCGGGTTAGTTATATTTATTGGACAGTAGGGCGGGGGTCGGGTGTCCTAAAAGATGGGTAGGCTGGGCACGAACTACAGGCCCAGATATATCAGCCAGCCTGCTGGGATGAGTCCTGCCAAGGAACCCGGTCCCCTTGAGCACTTTTGAAGATTTTAAATGAATTAAGCCTGCACCACGCACCCTTGATCAAGCCCTAGTCTTAGCGTGTCGCCTCAAACCCACGAGTTGTGATTGACCTGGTCCCTCCAGCGTCAATGTCTATCTCGACTGACTACGCTTCAGGAGGGTCTGCGACACCTCCTCAGCTTAATCCTAGCGTGGGCATTCTCGGGAAGCGGCGTCAAGCAGAGCCACCGACCTTGGACCCAATCCTTCCGGCCGACCAGATCGGAGGCAATACGGTAGCTTTACGACCCGAGAAGCGTCATCGCCACAGCGGCCACCTGAACGAACAGCCGGCTATTGCGTCAGTAATCATCCACACGGTCCTATGTCCGCGTTCCGCCGACGGCCACAAGAGGCACGGTTCCCGGACCCTGTTCCTAGACCAGCCTCGTCTGTTTGGGGGGGACACCAAAGCGAGCGCCCTGCGCGGTAGACATCCTGCCAACGACGACATCGATGATTACCTTGCGGCAGATTCCACCAGCTTCGTCGTGGTCCGGAACTACGACTGCGCAAAGTTCCATAAGTCGATCCAGGACAGCTTCACGAGGTTCCCACTGCCGGTCGCCGACCATGAGGCGCCTGCGGAGGCCCAGCCCTACTTCTACTTCCTGGAGCATGATACTACGCCCGCGGAGCCTTTGGCCGAGTCCTTCCTGATCACGCCCGCCTTCGAGGACGCGATGGGCGAATTAGTGAAGCTCGAGCCGCTACCATTCGCGGAGTGGCAGGCGGCGTTAAAATCGCCGTACCTACATGCCTTCCACACTCGCCAGCGAATGCAAATCCTGACAAACGAGTGTCTTGACGAGAAAGGAGCGGCGTATGTTCTCTCGTTCCTAGCTTACACCGAGGGTTCGTTCGGGGCGCAATACTGCGCCGCCGAACACCTGTTTTCGCAGGGGCTAGTCACTCGCGAGCACTTCAACAAGCTATTCGGCCCGAACGAAGTTGTCGTGAGCATCGAGGGGGGCGAGCCAGAGGCCTTCGTCGCGACTGTGTGTCACTCCAGCTTTAGTAGCCAAGAGGTACAGCTGGACTGCTACCACTGGTCGTTCGATGGCGCTTTTCACAAGCAAGAAAAAGACCTTCGGATCTTATGGCCAGTTGAGGGCGATGGCCCAATCCGTATCACGGACCTGAGCACGTACCCGCTGAGGTATGACTCCACTGGCGAGCTAACGAAGACGCTACGGGAGCGAGGCAACATGTTCTGGTCTTGCAGACAGCGGAGGTTCCTTGGATATGCTGACCCAAAACCCTCATCCGGGCAACTGGTAAGAGAATTCGGCATGACACTGGTCCTTACCTAGGCGCAGTCCGTATGTGCTGACACTTAGCAGTCGAATCCTCGGTATATGATTGACCTAGTCACATATCAGGATTTACACAGCAATCAACAAGACCAACTGGTGGACCGTCGGGACGACCTTGGAAAGGACATGGTGGGGTTCAGTCAGCCTCCCAAGGACCCCTTCGTTCTGCTCCTGCCTTCGAAGATTCTAGGCTTTGGACTACATGACAAAAAATGGAGTAAGACCGATTCTTTCCTCACCAGGCGTAGCAACCACGTATAAACCTGTATTCCTAACATGTGGTACATAGGAACGCTGCTGGTTAAGCATCTCCATCCCATAAAGTGGAACAAGAAAGCTTTTGAACGCCTTGTCCTAGACTCGGAGAAGAAAGAGCTAATCGAGGCCATGGTTCGGGTTCACGTTTCGTCCAGCATGTCTACTGACGTCATCGAGGGCAAGGGCAACGGGCTCATCATCCTCCTCCATGGGGGGCCCGGGACGGGCAAGACTTTGACGGCCGAGAGCGTAGCAGAGCTCGCGGAGAAGCCGCTGTATCGGGTAACTTGCGGGGATGTCGGAACGGATCCCGAGAGCGTGGAGACGTACTTGGAGCGCGTGCTGAATATCGGTAGCACCTGGGGAGCTGGTAAGTGACTTCATAATGCTACCTGTCGGCGCAGCAGACTAATTTTGCGCAGTTCTTCTACTGGACGAGAGCGACGTTTTCCTCGAGGAGCGAGAGAAGACCGATCTCCAGCGGAACGCGCTCGTGTCCGTTTTCCTTCGAGCTCTCGAGTATTACGAAGGCATCCTAATCTTGACTTCCAATCGAGGTAAGACTTCCTGGAAATCATCACAAGTCCCAGTAGAGCTGACGACACCCCTCAGTCGGCATTTTCGACGAGGCATTCAAGTCCCGTGTCCAGCTAGCGCTGCACTACCCGCCGCTGGATTATAACGGCCGGCGGGAGATCTGGAATAGTCTCATCTGCCTGCTCAGACAGCAGCAGGACGGCGCGTCAACGGGACTGGCTGAGGGCGAGAGCTTCAACATCGACGAGCTACGGGACAAGCTCGACATCCTGGCCAAGGAAAACCTCAACGGGCGGCAGATCCGCAATGCCATCACTACCGCCCGACAGCTCGCCCGCTTCCGGGAAAAGCCCCTTGGGTACGCGCACCTGAGTCAGACAATCCGAATCGCGAACGAATTCGAGGCCTATGTTGAGAAAACACATGGGCATAATGCGGGGGAATACGCGCGTGGGTCGGGTGTGCGGCTGGAGTAGCTGGCGTGAGGCGGGATCGACTTCTCCCGTAGGGCGCTTGTTTTGTGACTTTTTTTTGGGCAATCCCTGTCATGGTCGGAGTTGCGGTTTTGTTTTTGCTTTAGATAGGAACGAGCGGAGCATGGAGCGTAATAGCAAATTTTTTGTTTCCAGTCCTCGGGAGGTTGTGATGGCTCTGTAAGTGCCGCTTGACGAAGCACCCCCACTCGGCCAAGAACTCCTCTCTGGAATAAAAGTTCGTGGAGAAGGCCGGAATGCAGACATGCCTTGATTCCGGCTGTCGTTCTCAAGCCATTCTACACCGTGAAGTAAGGCATTGACCATCACCAGCACAGATTTCAATCCTGTCCTGTCAATTGCTGCAATGCAGTAGTACCCCTCAGCAAAATCCTTGAAAGCAGCGCTGTCTGTGGAAACGTGGAACACACGGACAGGCACGAAGGCATCCTGGGAATGCACTGGTATGATCTAGTAATTACCTCCAGCCCTGACGGGATTGAGGCCACCTCGATGGGCGCCACTTCTAGGGGGGATCGCCCAATGCTCCTTACGAGCCATTTCACACTGCTAAGTTGCAAGATTGGGCGCCAATATCGACTCGGGTCAATCTTCTGGTCTTGTCACCAGGAGTTGATCTCGGCAGGCTCAAACGTCGTCTCTGTCGGTCTAGCGGGGCCAATACGGGAGATGGAAAAGGCCCACAAATACATGGCGACTTTGCACGCCTGGACGCACTGGCTTACGTCACTCAATTTTGGTATCGTGGGAAGTGCACTGGGCTCAGGCCCAGACAATTGTCGAGGCGGTTGGGTTGAAAGACAGTCTGCTCGGGCCGCGTGGTCAAACTCAATCGCCAGCTTTGTACCCCCTGTCGTGCTATCAACCAGGACCCGAACCCGACCAAAACAATGACTCGCCCAGCTGGCCGTGGCGATTTCGAGATAGCCATCATCTGCGCCCTCACAATAGAGGCCGATGCCGCAGAGGCTCTCTTCGACCGCCACTGGGGCGACGAAGGTCCTCCTTACGATAAAGCCCCCGGCGACCCCAACGCCTACTCCACCGGGTACATTGGCCGCCACAACGTCGTGCTAGCCCACATGCCCGGCATAGGGAAGGCCAATGCTGCGCTCGTGGCGAGCAATTGCCGAAACAGCTTCCCCAACATCAAACTCGCTCTTGTCGTTGGCGTCTGCGGCGCAGCGCCGTTTGCGCCCAGCAACAATGACGAGATTGTGCTCGGCGATGTCATCATAAGCGACGGCGTCATCCAATACGATCTCGGACGACGGCTTCCCGAGGGCTTTGTGCGCAAGGACACTCTGCTTGATTCTCTAGGGAGGCCCAACGCAGAGATCCGTGCGCTTGTTGTGAAGTTGAAGGGTATCCGCGGCCAAGCGACGCTTAAAAGAAAAATGGCCAGCTATATGGAAGAACTCCAGAAACAGCCCGAGGTGAAAGCGGAGTATCCAGGCCTCCAGCACGACCGGCTTTTTGAAGCCACATACCGCCACGTCGGCGATGGGATGATCTGTGAAGACTGTTGCTGTAGCGGTCGGTTAGTGTCCCGCTCTCGTCTCGCTCAGGGCATACCGCAACCTGCTGTCCACTTCGGCTTGATCGCGACTGGCGATATGGTGATGAAATCTGGGGAAGAACGTGATGAGATCGTACGACGGGAGGGAGCCATTGGTTTTGAGATGGAGGGAGCCGGGGTGTGGGACAGCTTCCCATGCGTGGTGATCAAGGGCGTTTGCGACTACGCGGACAGCCATAAGACGAAGGTATGGCAGCGGTACGCAGCAGCAACGGCAGCAGCATGCATGAAGTCTTTTTTGGACTATTGGGTACCTTCGGTGACGATCGGTGAGTGGAAGCGCCATCTCCGCAACGGTTGGAAGGGATTTGCTGATCCCTTTTGGAGCAGGTCGAGTCCAGGAGCATCCCACCGGCCCTTGGCGTATGTATCTGGCCTTCCACTCAAAATCCAACGAATGAAAGCTTATACGGTTTGTAGTTCTCATTCCACTCCCAAGACACGACGCAGGTGTCGGCCGGGGCGCCATGCCCGTGGGCACTCTACAGGCAATGGCCCCGCTCGTCGGTTTGGGCGGCATGGGCGGATTTAGAGTCGCTTTCCCGAACGAAGGAACGATCTTCGGGGCTGCGAACTGTAGGACGAGTCTTTTTTGACCCCATGTTCCAAGGCCGTGGCCTAGCTGACTACCTACTGCGCCAGGCGGCTCGACTAGGCTTAAGGAAGTCCATCTTGATGCCAGAGACATGATGCCTCGCATCGCCGACACGCATTTCGACAAAATCCTCGACATCATGAGGCCAAAAAGATCACCTGAAAACGCACTCCAGAAACACAAGTCGATCGCCAGGCGCTCCTCTCCCTGGAGGAGCCAGAACCGGGACACCCTCGAGCTTTTGCGGCGCGTCGGGCAGTGGGCTTCCGCACCCAAGTCGTCGTTGCTGGTCCTGCAGACGCAGCCGCGAGCCCACGCCCGGGTCAAGGAGATGGCCATCGAGCTGATCGGATTTCTGCGGCCGCAGTCCCCGAAGGTCATCTGGTACCTATCTGGCACGAGCATCGAGGATAAGTGCGCTTCCGCGGTCGAGGTCCTGCGTAGCCTGATATTCCAGTCCTTGAAGCTGGTGCCGGAGCTCGTCGCCTCGGAGCTGGGCAGCTTCTCCACGACCAAGCTGCGTGCGGCGCATTCCGAGAACGAGTGGCTCGATTTGCTGTGCAGCATCCTGCAGCATTTGAATTCCTGCTTTATCATCATTGAAGCAGAGGATGTTTTCAGAAACGGGGGGTCGGTGCAACTCATGGGACTGTTACAGAGGATTGCTGACCGCTTCCGAGACTCGGGGGCTGCGATCAAGCTCCTGGTCGTCAGCTACAATCACACCTGGCCGAGCCCAGATGAGTCAAGGTTAGAAGACATGCCAACGGTACTTGTCGTCAACCGAGAAGCCCCTGTCCCTCCACGGCTTCGAAGACCTGGGGCACGTTCTGTGTTCCACGGGGCTGCCTGGGGCCGTACCCTGAGCCGGAAAACAACATAATTGCCGGCAATATGTCCGCGGTCATAGCGGGCCCAGGCCGTTGCAAGACGCACTCAGACTAACCTGTCACAGGCAACGCCTGGCAAAGAGACAATGGCTGCGGTGTGCCGCAGGTCGTCGAGGCTTAAAGCTACAAATAGGAGATAGAAGGTAGCGGAAGGGCAGCCAAAGGTCGCGCGAGGCGACTCGGAAGAAGAAGAAAACGGACCGCCGGGATATTCGGGGATCTAGCGGTATGGAGTGACACGCGATTCTTACAAGCCTACCATCTTCGGCCGCCCCAACCAGCCAGCTCACTCTCATTCCCGCTGACTCCCATCCAGGGAATGACAGTTGATCCTTCCCAAAGGGTTGTGGACTCCCTACAGCTGACGGCGGAACGTCGAGCTGGCCTTTATAGGCGACTGCGAGCCGTATCGAGCTTCAGTTCTTCTATGATGGCGCCTGCGAGATGGAGTGTCGGCATCAGTCCTAAACTACACGGCGTGTGGTGGTCGGGCAGAGCTGCGCCGCAGTCTTCTCGGCTCTTCACCTGCCGCTTTAAATGCACAGACGGGGACATGATACAGTGGCTTTTCTTTAGGCAGAGCGGTGTGTCCACTTGACATGCACCGGCCTGGTGGCGAGGTATGTTTTACGCGATGGTGATCGTCGTTTCGGTTTATATTGGGGTAGAAACATCAACTTTACTCTAGAACAGGAATTCCATTCCCTTGTGTCCTTCTTCTTCCTCTTCAGCCGCCTCGGCCTCGCGCCCCCTACTATGATGGGCACTTGTGGTAGCAACCCCGTTACCAGTCTCACTGTTCTTTCCAATATCGTTCTGGAGAGAAGACACAACCCCAACACGTATCTACTCGGCGGGATCTCTTCCCCCTCAAGAGCCCGGCTAGTCATATCAAACGCAAAGTGGGCGGGATGGGCTCTGATCATCTCGGGTCCTGGTGCGGGGCCGAAGCACATCGGCAGTGCTTACTCGCGCCCTTCGGAGAATAAGAAAACGATCGACGCTCGCGTTCCTTGGAACTCATCACTGGACGGTTTCCTTTGGCGCGCGGGAGGGGGCCGCCTTTCATTTCCCCCAGAATCTGGATCGGCGGCCAAGACGCCGTGCCTGCAGCCTTGATTGACGCCCTAAATCTCCGAGCTTTGGCTCACGCGTGTTTCTGATGGAGTCAGTCATCTTTGTCGGGACCATGGTCCGCATAAAGGGAGAAGGTCTGCTACTCGCAGCGCTGTCTTTTTGGCAACGTCGCGGCGCAGGAAAATCAAGAAGTCTAAGCCCTGTATTGTCAGCGAGCAGGGCCATTTTTTCCCCTCAAATTTGTCGTCTTTTTCGACCTTGAGCCTTGCCATCACACTGGGCCTCCCACCAACGAGCCTTGTCGCACGGACGCCCGGCAGAACATGGACAGGGCTGGGTTTCCCACCATCAGTGGCGCCCCTGAGGCTAGGGTGTGGATAGGGTGTGAACAGGGGTCACGGCGGACCTCTGACGTGGTGTGTTACGCACAGCCCTCGGTGCCCTTGCGCGACCGTTTCAGCGCATGGGCCCCCCCCTTGGGTGCTTGTGGCGTCCTGTCTGTCGCGTGTCGGTGCTTCTCCGCTGCCCTAGCCAGAGCCAGAGCTAAAGGCGCCGCCCCGGAACCGGGACGGTCGCGAGATGTCTCTGTATTATTCGAGAATGGCAGCGAGTCTAACAACGCGAGACCTTTTGACAGGTGCCACACAGACTCAATTTGTCTAGACTGTGGCGCTCTGTGCCTGAGAGGTCTGCACATGACACGCGTCAGTCTCTGGCCGCCATTCGCTGCTCCTCGACAGGTGCTGTTTTTCCTTCTTCCCTTTGTCTCTGCTTGGCGCCTGACCAAACGGCTCGCTCGCTTTTCGCCTGTGCGGGCGACGTTTGGCATCTGAGACCTGTCCTGCGCTGGGCCGCCAAGCCCCAAATCGCGGTGCAGGTCGCTTTAAGCATGCCCGAGTCCTTTTGTCCCTGTGGAGGCTCTGCTCGGCTTTTGCTCTCCTCTCGCACATGTCCGAGGAAGCACAAGCCACAACAGTCCTTTGCGTGCCCATGAATATCAAGCTCGGGCCAACAGCCAAGCCGGTCCACTGCCAAAACAAGTTCAACAGGCTGCCATTCGGACGAGTTCGAGTTCGAATTCGGCCCTGGGCGCCGGGTCGGTCTTGTGTGTCTGCTGCAAGGCACTGAAGCTTACGAATAAGGTGCTTGTCGGCATCAGACGACTGCGGGTGCACACTAACACCAACATTTTGCTTGATGCGGGCAGGCTGTCCTACAGTATGGGCGTGCTACGAATCACAACGGCCATGTTGTGTTGGTGCTGCCGTTGGGTATTGGCATCACATTCGTCACTGTAATTGACGTCTGTGTGTTTGTTCTGGTCTTCTGTGGACCGACGACAGGACTCTCGGTCGCAAACCGCGATTTGGAACGCCTGCCAAGGCCAACCCAAGCCCTGGTGCAGGGGTTGTCTGCAACAGTGGCTTCCCGCAGCGCCGGCAGTGTGTGCGGAGGGGCGGGCCCGCATTAACCAAGAAGAGGCGCTAAAACAGGTTTGACGTCTCAGAAGGTGCGCCTCGCAGCCATCAATGCGGCTCACAATTGTCTCAGAACTTTCCCATCAACCACGCTTCTTGCTTTTTGTCCCTTTTCACTTTGTCTCTAGCCTCTGACCTCGGCTTCTGGTGAAGACGACGACATGCCAGCGCGGTTTCCTCGACCGTTGCCGCTAAGCTGGACCGACCCAAATGGAGCGCCGGCAAGACTCAACGCCAAATCGCCAAATCGCCAATTCATCAGCTAAAAGCGCAGCAAATGCTGTGCAGGCAAGCGGGATCCGATTGACGTGCGCCGACTGCCCGATTCGGTGACCCACCAGCGCCTCGCACCAGTCCCGTTTGGGTCATCGATCCCTTGCATCCCTGCATCGCCCCTGCCGGCTCTCCCGTCGTTGCTGTTGCATCCTCAACTGGATCCTCCGCTGGCCTGACTCTGACCCCCTCTCCCACTTCCCGAGATCTCCAGGTCTAGTGTCTGTGGCTGCTCCTTCTGTTCAGCAGCACTCAGCTAAACTTCGCTCTTGCTTTTTTCCCTTCGCAACAAACACATTTTGGGCTGGCAACCACCATCAATCGCCCTCTCACCGTCCCCCCTGGCCCAGGCGCGCAGAGCATGCCGAGGAGCCTTGCATGCACTTGTTGCCCGTCTCGAAACCGCCCCAGCAGATCCTCCCTGCCCGCCCCTCCCGGATTGGGATAATGTGACCTTTTTGGGGGAGTCTTAGCACCTAAGGCGAAAAAACGAAAGAAAAAAAAACGAAAAAAAAAAAAAAAAAAACAATCCGACCCCAACCTGACCCCTGCCGCTCCTCCCTCGCACGACTCTCTTCCCTCACTACCTCTTATCCCGCCCACCCACACCCATCCTTCTCGTTTCTTGTTTTCTCCACACACCTTTTCACGCCTATCACCACCGAGCGCATTACGAACTGGCTCAGCTCCGAGAGCAGAGAGCCGCGAGGGCGAGCGAGCGAGCGAGAGAGAGCAGAGAGTCGAGCCCGCCGTGACGACGTCGACCGTCGCCGGTAACAGACAAGATGGCCTCGCTATGGTCTAGACGACTATGGCCCGCCTTAATAGCCGCGGCCGCCGTCTCGGCCCAGCAGCCGCAACTGCAGACATTTCCGCTCCACAACGTGCCGACATACCAGAAGGAGTCGGCCATGACGCTGCAGATCTCGGCTCCCAGCGGCGGACTGTCTCTGACGTATGATATCGTGCCGTTCACCATGAATGCCGGCCTGGATCGCAGCGAAACCGAACGAGGGGTGAGACGAGCCAACCAATCCCGGGACGGACCTGTCGGGGTGTTTGCGACGGCGGCCGGTAGCGCTGCAGTGGACGAGCCTTTGGGCGGCTCGCTGCTTCGCCAGTGTCTCCTTTGCTGACCACCGGCCGACTTTGTGACAGGCAATCCACATACATGGCCCCATCGTGGTCGCAACCGAAACGACGTACAACGACATCTCGAACCCGTCTTTGGCATACCTGAACTGCGACCGCCGGAACGGCTCGTCCATCACGTCCCAGATGATGCTCAACAAGCTCATGGAGAAACAGCCCGTCGCGATCCTGCTCTATAGCACCCAGAGCAACTGCTGCGGCCTGAGCGGGCTCAACGGCACCATGCCGTACGAGTCCATATTCACCATGACCGACGTGGGCGAGGCCATCGAGACGCTCAACATGACCAACTCGGGGAACGGCTGGGTCCAGGCCACCATCGTGGGGAACGCGACGAACCCCGGCCCGGACGTACTTGCCAGCGGAAGCGGCAATAACTCTGCCGTCGCAATGAGCATCCTCTACAGCATCACGGGCCTCATCACCCTGCTGTTCCTCGTAATCATCGGGACCGGTGCTGTGCGCGCCCACCGATATCCAGAGCGGTACGGCCCCAGAGCTGGGTATGGTGGCAGGCCGAGCCAGAGTAGGGCCAAGGGGATCGCGCGCGCCGTGCTGGACACACTGCCCATCGTCAAATTCGGTGCCCCGGCGGAGCCGAAACCCGACCCGGCCCTCGAGTTGGAGAGCGCCGAGCAGCAGAGGAAACGCAAGAACGAGACGGGGAACACGATGCAGGTGCACCATCTCTCGACCATCCCCGAGGACGCCGAGGCCGTGCCGTCGGGCAACAACAGCGCAACCAGGGAATCTCGTTTGCCTGCTGGCGATGTGGCCGCTGCCGCTGCCACTTTGGAGATACCCGCGACGATAGCCGAGGCGGCAGAGCCGGTTGGCGAGGAGCACCTCGGCTGCTCCATCTGCACCGACGACTTTTTGGTTGGAGAGGACGTGCGGGTACTGCCGTGTGATCACAAGTTCCACCCCCCGTGCATCGACCCATGGCTGATCAATGTCTCGGGAACATGCCCTCTATGGTAAGTCTTGTGCTCTACAGCCTTCCGAGATTCTTGTGGACGCCTGCTTACCGTTTCTTAACTTTCGCCGACAGTCGACTTGATCTGCAGCCGCACAACGACGAGACGAGCCCCGACGGCGGACAACTATCTCCACCCCTAGGACCCGACCCCGAGACGACGGTATCCCCACGGCAAACTCGGCGGAGCTCGAGGCTGTTCGACCTGGCCAGGCTACGGCATGCTTCGGTCGAAGAGCGCATCGAGGGGCTGAGGCAGTACCGACACGAGTCGCGCGTTGCTGGTGGCGATGCCAACGAAGAGGATGAGCGCAGCAGCACGTCACGCCTGACGCAACGCCTCCGTGAGAAATTCCGAGTGCGGACACGGGCCCAGTCCCCTCCGCAGGCGGAGAGGACACCGCAGGACGCTAGCGCGACGCCTTGATGTTTTCTTCTCGACACGACGTGGAACACGTCCCCGTCATGCGAGCACAGCGTCCCTGCATTCCACGAACTGTTAGTGATACCCCTGGACGGGTTTTCTTTTTCGACCTACGGAGCGGGCGATATAACCGTCGACCATAAATGAGCTAAAGAAAGGCCACGATGAAGATTAATGCGACCTTCTCTTTCTCCCATTTCATCGCCGATACACCGTTGGGCCAGGACGAGGATTTGCGGCCACACAATGTGGGATCGCCTCGCGCCGTCGACCTTATCCGGGTCACACGGCACAATGTGGGCTCGCGCAGCTGACTCACTGTCTTTTCGTTCTGTTTTATACCTTGCCCATGGCCCCCAGGACAGAAAGCATTGCGTGGCGTTTCTTGATTCATAAAAAGATCATTATACACTTGTTATCTACCTGTGTTAATACTTCAACTTCAGTCGGGTTGCCACGCCGCGCGAGGCCGGCCACTGTCTTTTCCGATTCTCCGTTATCTTTTTCTGCGTTTCTCTCAGCTCTCCTGCCGAACAGACTTCTCCTTTCCTTTTCTGTCTCTATTCCTATTTATCCGGGGGATATTTAGATAGGTCTATTTTTTGTCATCTCTTTTTACCAACCTAGGGGAGGGGTGACGACGGCGGTATCGGGGAGTATGGGGGCGTTGGGGTTGGGTCAGGTTGGACCCGGGCCGTTTCACATGGAGATGGCGCACAGGAGTTAGCGGACCACGGCGTGACGGACAGGAAAGTGGACAGCACATTGGCCATGACATGGCCGCAAGGAACAGACGGGGTGTCGGCCGTGAGCGAATCGAGGACGGAGCCGAAAGTAAGAGAGTTGGCGGAGTGGACAGAGGCGACCTATGCTCAAGACGCGACGTAGATTTAGAAGGAAGAAGGCAGCTTCGGGCCGACTACTCGCCTAATCGACAAGTATTGCGCCAAATGTTTGGAATAATGCCATGCACTTTGTGATGATGGCGAAGCTGGACCTTCAAGTTCTTTTTATTTTGATTCCTAGTCCAGCCCTATTTCTCATTCCAGTCCTATTCCAATCCTATTCCACTCGAATCCCATTTTATTCCAGTCTTATCCTTATTTTAGTTTTTATTCCTGTTCGTATTCGTATGTATTCTCAAAAGAGGCTACCCGTAAATAGTTATACGCGAAGGCGTTGTCTAGGTACCTAGACACGGAGATACCCGAGCAGATCTGGCAGGACACAGATCGAAGCTAGTCGCGGCTCTTGCCAAAACCTCTCTTTAGTACATATGTTGGGTAGGTACCTAGGTATATATATCCGGATAGATGCTGCCAGTTCTTTTTCCAACAAGGTATTGGAGTGTTCTCACCCAAACCCACACCTACCTTGATCAACTCTCACGGCGCCGGGCGTGGCCCTGTACGAACAGCTATCACCCTGGGTCGACGATGGGGACTCTTGACAGCGGCAACAGCATCACCGCTAGGCTCCCCTCCCCCACACACCAGCTGGGGATCCCGGGCCAGCCGTTCGCGGGGTTCATGGCCAGCCTGGTGCTTGTCCGTCGTCTCCATCACCGCGCTGATGGCGCACGTCGTGCGGCCGTGGCGGCGCCTTGCCGCGCGTGGCCTGGCTGCCGCTCGCCCGTCTACACGGGCGGCACCTGCCATATCAGGCTCGAGAGGGACGCCGTGATAGCGCTCATCGCGTACGACGTCGCCGCCAACGACTATCTCGCCACACTGTTCCTGATACACTTGACGGATGAGCGAGCCCCCCCC